GAGCATCACTGCTATTGATCTTATATGTCTAAGCTTGGCAGCACTGTCGGGTAGCGTGCCAAGAAAATCAACACGTGACAAGTGGAACAAGTTTCTGATGAGCACATTTTACATGATCAGGGGTGGGATTAGTTCCATATGCCTTACCATCATCCAGCTCACTATCCTTTCCTCAGGCCTCAATCCTTGCCTCAGTCAAGTCCACATTATCAATAGTAAACTCTTTGTTATGCACACAGCTGAAGGTTGATTTGAGCCATACAAAAACATCAACAAGACATATTTCATAAAGTATGTCTTACTATCATGTTGCAATGCCTTGGCAGTGAATCGACCTGTCATTGTAGTCCTATTCCAATCTCTGAAGAAAGAAGCACCATGTATTTGTTCATTGTTCAGTTTTTTCTTTGGTTCAAAGGTCCATGGTTTGGCCACATTTCTAAAAAAGGCTCACCTGCCAAGAGATACTTGACATGCACCCTGCATTCATCTGTTTGCATTACTATGTATGGTAGCAATAGGAAGTTCTATGCTATTCAAAAGTAGGTCAGTTTGACATGTGTAGTTTACTATCATCTGAATTAAGGCCAGAATAATTAAGCTTTCCACTGTTCCCCTGCTTATTACTTATGTCCATTTGTGGCCTGTGGGTGTGAGGTGACAGTATGCCGCCAATGCCAAGTGTCTTATAAACAAGATAAATTTATGCACTGACACAAACTTAGATAAAGGCGGAAGTGTTTTCCTGTCTCTGAGTGTGTGTGAGTAGCATGTACTTGATGAACACTACATTCTTTCTACATTGTTTAGTGTGAATGCAGAGACGCTGTGCCCATAAGGGTGAAGAATGTTTGTGGTTTTCATTAAACGAAACCATAATATGGAGAATATAAATCACAACGTAAGACAAAACAAAAAAGCCTTATGAGTGTTTATTACAACACGAGTTGCTCAAGCTTGAAACAGCGCGGCTGGTTTTCTATACTGTTTTCTTGTTCGACACAATGGCTCGTTAAAACATCGCTGACATGATTGATTTGTCTCTTGATGAAATGAAAGATTCATCAGACATATGGTCGCAGAAAGACCCCAGAGCTTATTTCTTGTTGTTGGTTGTCAACTGAAAATCTGTGGTGTGGTTTGTGGTGCTGTGGGTTCAGTCGTTTAGTGTAATCGCTTCTTTTCTATCTCCCACATTTTTATGGTGTGAATGTGCTGATAGTAATTTTAATGAGAATAACCAGTGATGGTTGGGTCAGCTTCATCTGTCACATCCAGTATAACGGCTGCTTTTCATCTCAATCCTCTGATTTCTTTCATACTGAGTCAAAACTTAAAAGCTTGGTTTAAAAAACAAATTTATTATCAGGACATCTCTCTCAGTTTAAAGGTCTCATATGCTAATTTTCAGGTTCATACTTGTATTTTGGGTTTCTACGTTAACATATTTACTTGTTCTAAAATTCAAAAAACACATAATTTCCCCCAAATTCACCCTCTATCTGAAACGCTCCATTTAGGGCCTGTCTCTTTAAGGCCTAGTCTGCTCTGATTGGTCAGTATTTTCAGGTCTTCCACATACAACAGGAAATTCAAAGGAACCCATTAAGGCTCGATATATATCTTGTTATCTGCAGGGATAGATAGACAGAATATGACATCAGTTACAGTGATTGTAATCCTTGCTTGAATGTTCCCTTGGCAATGAGTAAAACAGTCTCGAGGGTTGTCTATCAGCGGGCATGCAGTCTCTGCCCTCTCAGACTTTACGTGATGACAGTGAACTCGTCACAGTACATATGACTGAAGTCCACTACGGCTCAGTCCCCAAATCCAGAGGGTGGACATTTGGATTCAGCCTTAACGCTTAATGTTTGAAAGGTTTGCAATATATAGTATAGTTGTGACATCACAACTTCAAGGAAGTCCTGACGGCTCGTTTGTAGGCACAGTTTCTGAATTGGACTGTACACTTCTCTATGGGTTGAGCATTTTGCCAGTATTTCAACACAAAACAGTTTTGTTTTCACAATATTTATGTCACACCAGTACCTGCTTTATATTTAAATAAGACATGGAAATCAGATTTTTTACAATAAGGGACCTTTTATATCCAAAGCTGGCACAACGATGATCCACACAACCATTTTTGTATTACAAAGTGACCATGCAGTGGAATACAGTTGTCAATGAAGGTAATATACACATACATCTAGTGTCTCGTTTCAAAATTAAGAGGTTATGTGCAATTTAAAAAAAAAACTGTCTTGCCTCTAGTTAGTGTTTTTGCACCTGGCCCAGATGCAAGTCACGAGCTCACTTGCGACCCCTCCCTCTAGGTCTGGCTCCAGAAGTGGGCCCTGGTGTCCCCACACCAGGCAAGGTACTCTCTCCGAATGTGCCGTTTCATCGTGGTCTTCTTGAACTGCTCTTAGTCTGGGCCCTCTCCTGGGACCACTTTGCTTTAGGAGACCCTACTAGGAACGATTAGCCTTGCACAACATGGCGCCCAGGATCACAGGGACACAGGAACCCCTACACCACGTTAAGGTGGCGATTCTTAGAGGGGTAAAGGCAAGACATTTTTTCTCCCAGGAGGCGCATTGCCGGAGAGGGACGTCTGGGATGCTCTGGTTGGCCTGCTGCCCCCGTGACCCGGCTTCGGATAAGCGTTTGAGAATGGATGGATGGATGGATGTCTTGCCTCAAAACTCTAGACTTTCTTTAATATTTTTCACAAACATACATTCTTACACCATCTTACTGATAAAACAGGCCACAAGTGCTGGTAAGGAAAGAAAAACTTTATTGATGTTTCTCTTACACAAGTCAACCGTTACATTTCAACATACTGCAGTTTAGAAAAATCCAAAGCTTTCTCGCTATTAGACACAAAGCATCTGAGGAGAAAGTGGTGTTAAAAATATCACATCATACATACAATAAGAAAAGTTTATATCAAAATCATACACTTTAATTCCCACTCATCATTCTTTTATTAAAAGGCACAAAGGGCAGCATTCTGCAGTTAACACCTTAAAGCCCCCAGCTTGCATGCAAGCGCAATTTACCCATTGGCATTTTAAATCAAGGTCTTTTGGGATTGAATCTCATCCATTTTGGTTTAAATCTGCATTCATATCAAAATCCACCAATCAACTGTTAACGTTCAGCTCTCACACATGCCATTTGCATGTGGGAATCACAATATCTCGGCAACAAACGGTCCCACAACTCACCACAACACTCAGAAGAAAACGAAATCATCCAACAAACACAATGAATAATCTTATCAAAGCAAACCATGTATGAAGGCCTCTACATAGCTGATAATGAAAATCAATAAATCAACATAACAAGACAATGTTTTGAGTAAATACTCAGTGAAATCACAGACGCACACACACTCAAATTCTCTCTCTCGCACTATTTATCTAACGCCCTCTAAATTGTGTGCTTTCCAACATTCTTGCCCCTGAGCCTCCTCTCGTTGGCCTCCTGAGTTACCCTAAGTATGTTACTTATGTTACGGAGTGTTGGTGGGCCTGAGGATGTTTTCCTTTTCAGCCTGTACTTCTGTTTGAGACCTGACACTGGACTAATCCTTCTAAGAAAACACCTGGAGGATGGTTTAAGCCGAAATACCCCCACCTGTTTTTGGCATTGTGACTGACAGACAGAAGCTCAATCTGTGCTCTTCTTATGCTGTGTATTATAAAGGCACACATTGTTAGACGGTGACAAACACACAATCTCACTGATCCCTAACTTGTCAACCTAAAATAGGGAGCTGAAACTCTCTTACTCACTTGTCACTGTTCTCTTGTAGCAGTTTTTGTTGTTTTCAAAAGAAAATCAGAGCCATAGCAGGTAGCGGCCAACAGGAGGAGATTACAGGCCCATTTACTGTCTCTTCCATACGTCACATGAAAGCAAAGAACATTTACTGATACAGTAAAGAAAAAAAAAGGAAATCATTGTCATATAATTCTACATTTAACAGGATTCTGTCAAAGTGCACAATTGGGGTTCTCAGTTAGAGAAAAACACAATATGCAACCAAAAAAAGATACATTTAAATACACGTTAAACAAGTTATATTCACAGCAATATCTCTAGTCTATCAACGCCTACCGTAGTAAAAGGTGACTTTTACTGACCATGAGCCACATCATTCAAAATCTTGTCAATCAGAACTCTTAAAGTGACAGTTCACCCCCAAATCAAAATTACATATTTTCCCTCTTACCTGTAGTACTATTTATCAGTCTAGATTGTTTTGGTGTGAGTTGTTGAGTGTTTGAGATATCAGCCGCAGAGATGTCTGCCTTCTCTTAAATGTAATGGAACTAGATGGCGTAGAAAGCCTCGTAACTGAAGCGGCCACTAGAGGCTGGAAAGCTGTGGTGCAATCGATTGAGGTGGGCTGCATAGGCTTCGACGCTAGATCCACCGCTAGGCTCCTCAAGGATATCGGGATTAATGGGCAGGTCCAGAGGAAGGTGGTTAAGGATCTGGCCCATATAGCTGAGAGGTCCAGACACTGGCTATGGCTGAGGAGAAAGGATCTCGTCTGGGCCCCTCGGTGACCACGGAGGAGCAAACTTTCTGACACATACCCAGGCCTGATCTGCCTGTGGTGGGCCTGCCTCAATGGAGGGTGTCTTGTGATAAAGGCTGAAATGATGATGTGGAGGTGCACAACTGATGATGTGTCGGGTTGTCATGGCAGAAATACCTATGCTCTGGCACAAACCGTGCTGAAACTCCAGGGATTTTAACACCCTAAGTCCTAACTGATGAATCTACATGAAACTGCTCACAGCAAGGTCTGTGGGTTATCTTGAGTAACTGGGTCATAGTTTCTGGAAAGAGACATTTGGCGCTTTGGGCGCCACAAGCCGAGTGCCATCTAGTTCCATTATATTCAAGAGAAGGCGGACATCTCTGCGGCCGATATCTCCAACACTCAGCAACTCACACTAAAACAATCTAGACTGATAAACAGCACTACAGGTAAGAGGAAGAATATGTATTTTTAATTTTGATGTGTACTGTCCCTTTAACCCCCCCATGAGAGGTGTAGCACTGCTACACACACTACCATAGCAGACCAGTAAACACACATACACACATACACACCTGGAGGTATCTATGGTTACCCCGAGTTACATCTTTACATGTAAGTGCACAGGTGAGAGGTGCCATCATCAGTGTGAAACCCTCTGTGAACACAAGCTAGCAGTCGTGCGATGCTTACACTATAGTACTCCGATAAACCTCCTTGGCTCCGACGCATCCACACCGAGTCGTAAAAGTCACAAACTGTACATACACACCAAACATGCACACCACTTATTCAGAGCAGTCTTCGAGTTTGATCTACAAAGGCTTCTCACATCTACAAAACCACCCACAAGCCCAGTACACCAATGAACTAACATCGATATGAAACAGACACACTAAAGCTACTTATAATACAGTAAACATCCAATTATAAAAAAAGACAAACAAGTATAACTTAAAAAAAATAAAAAATAAAACGTCAGTAATGAGTTTAATAATTATCAAAATGGAGCAAAAATAAAGCTTAACAGGAGATATCAAAATGTGAGGTGATGACACAGCTGGAGGATGGAAAGGGGAAACGCGCAGGGGAAGTGGAACTGGGTTATAAGTGAAGGGATTGAGAAAAAAAGAGGAAATAAAGAGGGCAAAGCTAACAGTGGCTATGTTCCAATGTTTTGGTACAGCCTCTGCTGTTTATCTCTTCTCCTAACTCCACTCTGGGTCAACGGGTGACACTGACTTGTACTTATGACCACTGATACTGCAGGAGAGCAGCTGGCTGACTGTTCACCACATTTTCATTAGGTCATTTTTAGTATCAAGGAAACGAGATAAAAAGCAAAGGACAGTACTTTTAATGTTCTTTACCTGCATTGTGCTGCTGTGTTACTGTATGTACATATCCATGTGGAGTGCAGTGGGTACAAGGTTCAAAATCTGACCTGGCTGCTCATCTGTCAATCAGAAATAAATTCATATTCCTCTGTGGGTAGATCATTTTGGCCATTTTTATAAGGCTGTTTTTCAATTTTTGCCTCAAGGCGTTGGTTTTGTTCATCAGCACTATCTGAGTTTATTTCAGCTCATCAGCAACCTAGATCTGAGGGTGAGGTGACTTTGCACAGTAATAAAAGCACAGTGTTGGGAGGCAGACTGTCCAACTGATTACCTGCTTGTAATCAGTACTGTAATAAAGTCAATTCTGGAAACTCAATGTTAGTGTTTGGAGTTTTAGCCCTTTAACACGCAGTTAGGTAGGCAGACAGTTTACTCTGTTATTTAGAAACTTAAGTGGTAAAATTTCTTTGAAAAATATGTTAATTAATCCAAATTTACCTGTATTTACTTAGCTTTTAACTGAGTTTTCTTTAATCAGTAAACTTAAACTTGCTCAGGTGTCATCACGTCTAGGCAGGGGACGATGTGAAAATTTCATGTCATGATTACCCTGGCCAAAATAACTGTGATTCACGACATTCCCGGTGATCATCAAAATGTGCTTTAAACTCTTAAACTGGCACTAAAGCAAACTGGAATCACTTTTTTTTAGTGAAAAACACACTAACGATCTTAAAAAGCCAGGCTTCTCAGCTATTTAAAATGGCATCATATCCTTTGAAATGAAATATGCCAGTGAGTGATTAAGATCTTGTGTTCGTTGAAGTTGGTGCACACGCAGCCTGTTTTACTGGTTCTATTTTATTGTTGGTTGCCTAACAGTCTCTTTTAAAGGTAAGTATTGTGTATAGGTCACATGATAGGATATGGTTGAAAGCTATGTGAAAATATAAGAAATTGAACTTTGATTTTAGAATAAGTCACCACAGATTCGTTATCTTAAGGTTAAGAATGAATCAACTTTTACAATCCAAGTAATCCTCTATCATAATCAGTTTCCTTTAATTCTTCCCAACCTTGTGCAGTTACTACTAATGCGAGGCACATCTGCCATGTCGATCTGACTCCACTTTAGCTCAGGTTACAGACAAGTCATCAGCATCATAAACCACTGAGTGTTTCCACAGAAGGGGTTTTAACTATAGTACACAACAGCAAAAGGTTCACAGCACCACAATGAGTTCTGCTACATGATGCTGTGAGAAAATAAATTAGCTCAAAAGGCACTGTGGATAAAGAAGTGTGTGATTGTGTTTTGTGCTGTGCATCAGGTGAACTTGAAAAACTTAAGTTCAAAGAGTTTAAGTTCTTTAGTGTGTGCGTCTGTGTGCTTGTTTAGGGTCAGGGCCTGTGGTATTTGTCATTGTAGCGGTGGATGGTGACGCAGCCGTGGTAGGAGATCGGCCGCGGCATGGCCGCCACACCTGTGATGATGCCTGTTGCTGGGTCGTAACACAGGATGGTGTCTGTCGCTTCGCCATTCTCCCCTCTGCCGCCGAGGATGAAGATCTTCCCGTTGCACACTGACATCCCGCAGCTCTCCTACAGGAAGAGAGACGGAAATTAGAGGTTCCAGCCTCAGAGGATCCTTGAAGTCAAACAGTCTGTTCCTCAAGTGCACAGTATCTGCGTTTAACTTATTACCTGTTTGTTAAAGGTGTGAACCACATGTATCCAGTAGTCCTCTGCGGGGTCGTAGCAGAATATGGACTTGGTGAGACCACCGCACACATAGATCAGGTTGTTGAGGGACACTGCCGTGATGCAGCGCTTGGCGATGGGGATGTTTGCCCGCAGCAACCAAGAATCTGTCTCAGGATCATAGCACTGAACCTGTGACATATAGTTACACGCAGTTAGTTGCGTTGTATTGTGGTAAAACAAAGAAGAGTAAAGACTCCATGTGGTGGGAAAATAGTTGAAAAAATGACATATCTGTGGTTTTACTGGCTGTCTGTTCTGTGGGCTGACTTGAGTTTGACTCTATGTGGTTTCGCATACAATCCAAGCATTCTCTCACCCACGTCTCTTTAAAATAGCCTCCTTCCAAACAGTGTTGTCTCTGACGCCAGCTAACAACACACTCCAGCAGACAGAGAGCTTTAGGATCAATGTGAATGACGCCATAAGGAGACTCAACAGATAAGTAGCTTCAAGCAATTGGAGCTAGCATGAACTCTAGTCCCTTTAAGCCACGTAGAGACAAGAACAAATAGTCAGCCATGTTGTGTTAACTCTTATCAGGCTGCGTCTTTGCCTGTGGACGCATGTTTTCTTGCCAGCACAGATATAAACAGACTAGCTTTTCCTTAGAGGAAAAAAAACACTTCCCCTGAAGTTTGGGCTTCTGTGAAATTTACTCTCTTCCTGTTTACTACCAGCAGCAACTGTCACGTAAAACATAATGAGACTATTCCAGAGTAGCCCATCGGTCCTGATGTCTGGGGTCATCTAAACACAGTGTTATACAGTGGCACCGTTGGCACATCCTGACAGATGACAAATTATCTAATCTTCAACTCCCTTGTAATTATCATTACCTCACTCTTTATCTTGGTACATCATTATCAGTGAGTCTATTTCTTTGGGTTTTAAAATGTTTGGTCTGCCTCATTCTGATATCTTCCATTACTTATTTTCATCAGCGTCGTGTCACAGCATGTCACTGTCATCTCATTACGTAAATGTATTTCTATCAATGACTCACTGATGTGAAATTAAACCTGAAATACTGCACAATTAAAAACTGGCAAGGACATGATGATCAGGATACAATTAAAACTACCTTAATCAGAATGAACCAGATGGACCTGGAGATAAAACTACCTGAGGCTAAAGATGTTTTGTTCTTGGTGACTCAGGAAACTTTTGTTTTTATTAAGGGAAGTTTCATCTTTCAGGGATAGGCTGCAACAGTTGACATGGGTTACTTTGTTCTTTCAGTTATGTCCTATTAATGTTTATTATGTAGTCCATATACATATATATATATATATATATATATTATAGAACCAGGGACCCTCTTGCTGTGAGGCAACAATGTTAAAACACTATTATAAACTGCGACCACTGTGTTTGCACATCCGTTGTATCTCTAGGTATCATCACTGAAAACTAGTTATCTGCTTTAGTGTGTGGTTAGAGGAGCACATCTGTTTCCCACCTTATCGGAACAAGTGTCGTCATCAGGTCCTCCTCCAATGACAAAGAGCTTGCCAGCACAGCTGGCCACGGCTGGAGAGCTGACGGCCTCTTTCATTGGAGCCACCTCTGTCCAGCGGTTGGAGAAGGAGTCATAACACTCAACACTGCTCAGGCGGCTCTGCCCATCATAGCCACCTACAGCATAGACCTGAGGGCAAACACACAAACACATTTGGATTAGAGGAGGAGTTGATTTTACCACCTTGGAAGAAGGTTTTTATAGCTTTTTACACCGAGCAGGATTATGAATCTAGGAGTCAGAGAAATTTTGAGTTGTGTTTTGTTGTGATATATCCACATACACCATATACACAGACGCACATTCACGGTAAGAGAGATGTTTGTATTCAGGCTCACTAGTTCACGAGTATGAACAATAGCCTGTACGTCAGCACTTAGCAAACCAGTCTATCAGGTGCAGATGAAAGATGACGTACTGCAACTAGCACCATTGTCTCAGTCCTCGTTGCTCTTACATCTGTAAACAATGTTCTGGATCCCTGCAGGCACCGGTGCATTTTCTAACCTTTAACTGGTGTAATCAAAATCTGTTAATTCCCATTGTATATCACAATCTAAACTAAAATTGTCAGCCAGTAGATTTGATTTCCAAGTTGGATGATTAAATCTGTCCCATGCCATTTTCTAGACAATTCAGTCTGAGCCACTAACAATAATAAAACATAAAACTTGCTGGAAGCTAAAGCATTACCAACAGAAGAACTGTGTTGACATAAGATATGCACTCTAATAAGTGCCTTGTGGTTATACATTGGCCTACTACCCTACCTCTAGAGCGCAGAATGGCAAAATGAGAAAAAAAATCTGGAGCATGAGGCCTGAGGTATGGGGGGACAAAAGGCTGATGAAAGGTAGAGATACATCTTAACTTCTACTTCCTCAATAACTGTCAAGAATACATTATTGGTTATGAGCACAGCACTGCTCATCAACAGACTGGTCTTATGCAACAGAAGACCTTCAGGCTGTTCCTGTCTCTCCAAAAAAATCTCAAGCATAAACAAGTACAGAGGAGAGAGAGGGAGGGTGCAGAGAAGAGAGGGAAACAAAGAGACAAAGAAAGATGGAGGGAAAAACGGGGAACAAAAAAGGCGGAAGTGGAGAGAGCCCGTGGATATTTGCATTCTGCACCTGGGCTAATTGATAGCACTGCCGCCTTTTTTAACTGACAAGTTGATGCAGAGATAAAAGACCTTCATGAACTTGTTCACTCTTTGTGTAACATCTCAGGCAGTGGTTTCAGAGTTAAGCTGTCTGTGTGTTTCTTCATTCATGTGATTTCAACAACAAGCAAACATAGCCAATATTTGGTGTAGGGCAGCTGCCACACTGTAATTCACAGACTATGTAGACCAGCTGAGACGTGTTTATTTTGACACTATGTGATGATACAGCTAATAACAAGTGGTTAAATGCAGGAACTTTGTTGCCTACAATGAAAGAGATGCAACAGAAACAAAAGAGAAATAAGGGGAGTGAATGTAAAGTTAAAGCTACAGTCCTTAACTTCTATAATAACTGTCACTATATCCAGACAGTAGTACATGAGACTGATAATCTGTGGAAAAGAAATCATGTTCCTCAGCCTCCTCTTAGTGCTTCTGATCTTTGCAAGAATCCCTCACACTTGGAAAAAAAAACAACCAATCAGAGTTGTTCAGACCAATGATTCGTGACGAGACGAAACTGTTTTAGAACGTTGCAGAGAAAAGTTGAACTGACCCGTCTGAGCTCAACTCAAGCCGGCTGATGGTGTCACCTGCAACTCCGCTGGTCAAATCGCCAGCAGCTGGTTTTAGAACGCAAGACCGGTCACCTGCTTCTACAGTGAATCAGCTTATAGTAAAGTCCGCTGGTCAAGTCAAAATGACTGCAGACGGCGTGTTAACTTGCTGTGGCGGGTGCTCCCTCCCTGCCGAGCCCTCTGTTTCTGTCCTCACGTGTGCCGGTGTTAGACGGTGGGCTGCTGCACAGAGTTGTTGGATAGAGATGATACACCTTCTCATTTAGTTGCATTGGTGTGCAGAACGGCGCATTGCAAGTTGTTGCATGTTTCAACTCGTCTCGTCGCGAATCTTTGGGTTGAACTGGGCTTAACGCAGCGTGAACTGTGTCAATCACTGCACATGAACTGTGGTCAAACTGTCAAACTAGGCAGCGCTGATCAAATATGGATCAATCTGTTACTGCATTGTCAATTTTTTTTTACCTCAAGTGTTTTTAGAAACATATTTTAGTGTACTGTTTAGCTGTAAAATGGGAAAGTTTGTGACCCGGATGCCATGTTGAAACTAGTCGAGTTGAGTCAAAACGAAGCACCGCCCACCAGCCAAACATCATGTCCTGTTTATTTTGGATAATCATGCTTGATAGCAATCATCCCTGCTAAACTTTTGAGGGCTATGGATTACCCAGAGTAATATGGACACTTAAGGTAAATGAGAAAAGATGGGGTTTTTTTGGTATAATTTGGGTGAACTGACCCTTTAATGCTCTACTGAGGATATCCAGACACTAGTTTGCTTGAAGAGTGGGGGTTGGGGGGCTTTGGATCTCTCTTTTCTTCTCTTCCTCACCACTTTGCAGTCACTCGATAAAACACCCCATATGGTTTCGATACAGTGTGAAAGTGTGAGTACATCAATATAGGTGCATTCCACATTCACTTGATGATGGCAACACACACTCTATACCGACTCGACTTGAGGTATGTGGCTATCACATAAACACTAAGCCAAACGTGATTCATAGCTCCCTAAGGACACGCTCTCTAACCACCAAACAAGCGCATTTTATGACCGTTACTCAATGATTAACTGTCCACATGCAGAGAGGTGAGAAGTAGTGACCACAAGAGAAACGCTGAGGACTCCAGGAGGAAAACGACGTGGAGAGACAGACAAAGATGGACTGACACAGACACAAAAAAAGAAAGAAAGTAACATGATAGATGAGAACAGCAGTCACCAAGTGCAGCCACAACAGGGAGGGGAAAACAAGTGGTGACCTATTTTTGCTTCTACTCTATGGAAACAAGATCAGTCCAACAGGACATCACAGAATACAGGACACTGGGATGAGAAGAGTGTGTGTGATTGTATTTATATCCCTGTAAGAACCAGCTTTAGGAGTTAAGACATTAGGTTGTGGTAAGGACTATGTGAATAGATAGACGGTCTGCATAGTTAAACAAATGTGGGCGTGCACATGTGTACAAGAAGATACTTGAATGTCAACTGAATATGCAAATTGACTGAATGGTGAGTTAGTGGAAATGAGCACTGAGGCCTTTGCACGAAAGCATAAACATGCATACATGCTGGTTATACAGGCTTGTTTACAACACTCAGCCTTGTTTCTCCATTCTGGAGCATAAGCTGCACATCAAAAGGGGAAATTACAGACAGAATGAGGAAATGACTGGATGCAAACTCAGGAGGAGGGGGAACTGAATTCAGAGGAAAAAAACAAAGAGATACATCCTATACTGAATGTATTTTGATAAAAGGGTAGATACAGCCTGGAAAACATAACAAAAAGCATCCTAGACCAATTTGTGAAAAGATACAAGGAAATGAAATGAAATAACTATGACAGACAACAGAGTTCTGAGGAAAAATGATAAACAAAGAAGCATCAGAGATAAGGAGATAGCACACAGTGATGTGATTTACAAAAAAAGATTTCTATGGAAAAAAAGAAGATGAAAATTTGAGAAGGGAGGACAGAGGAGGAGACTAAACCACATGTGTGTGACAGATACAGGAAGTGGTCGCAGACAAGGGCCTCTCCTGGGATCTTGCATCTCAGAGGAATGTGTTTTTCAACAAAGGAGCACTGGCTCTTATATGTTGTGTGTGATGCCTTGCAAGTTTGACTTATCAGTTGCAGGCTTTGGATGCAAGAATAGGAAATACACATTAATGCTGTCTTATTTTAGCATTAAATCATTTTTGCATGAGAGTGTTAAGTCAGCTGCTGATCAGCAAATTTAAACATCAGTGTTCTACATCTTTTAGAGTCAAGTTAAACGACTGCCATATTGGTCCATCTTGTTTTCACCGTAACACGATACATGACTCACTTTGGAGTTAATTACTGACTTTTATAGCCAGAGTGTGACCCTCCAGCCGATTACCTCACTGTTGTGGAGAACCCTGAACACTGCATGTGTGTTTGTTGTTTCTGTGGCAAGGAAACTCAGCGTTTTGGGTGTTGTTTCGCAAGTCAGAGAAAATCCAGTACATACTGACCACAAGCAGAGCTCCAAATTTTTTTTTTAAAAGTATGTTTGCAGATTTGCTACAGATGACAAGAACCCCTTCTGAGTCAGGACCCATTCTGACAAAGTAAATAAAGCACTGTTTTAGCCCAAAGCTTTCCAAGAATACTAGTCCTTGTGTCCGTGTTCTTTAAGCGTGTGTTCAAGCGTGTGTTTGTGCACATGATGACTAAAGCACACGTGAGCTTGTGAGTGGTGTCTGTTTATGCTCTGCCTACTTCAACCGTGTCAATCAATGGCTGCTCTTCTTTACGCAACACTAATAACAGATATGATGGTTTAGAAACCTCGCGTGGGGCACACATGCCATTGTCATACCAGTGATTTGTTTTGAATTGAGATGTTCTTTGTAACCACAAACGCTACAGCAAATGCTTCACTATCTAGTTTAAGAACATTTCTGAAGACAACATGTGGTTACACAGTTACAGAGTTATTTACTCTAATGATAGAGTTTCCTCTTGTGAGCAAAATGCAGCGTGCCATAGGAACATGAGCAGCCTTGTACTGTGTATATTTACAGAGGAAGTGTGCTGTATCATGCCTATGTATGCAAACCCAGTGTGTGTTCACAGGCTTATCAGGAGTTCTCACAGCTATGTATGGCCACTCCAGGCTTATGTGATTGTGCACAGACACATAGAACATGATACGGGCGAGCGGACTACTCAACTTGGAAGTGTAAGGTGTTGGCCCACATCCAGTAAACTCCCACTGCCCTCGAACAGGAATGTCCACCTGGCCTTGCGCTAGAGACTGTAAATAGTAACAGCTCGAGAGCAGAGGCAGTGATCGAGGATTAATGTTCAGCTCACATGTAGACATTAAATGTACTCAGATTTCACAACCAAACTCGCACAGGTCTCCGTTTTTAATCCGACACTTGAGATATAGTGTATGTATAGGTGGCTAAGGTCATATGGGTTTGACAAATGACAGACAAGGAGGTGTAGCTATAGTTATTTCCTGTCGTATGCTGCCTGAAGAATGCCACTTTTTAAGCCCCTGTTGTATTTTCCATGTGTGGGGTGTTCAATAGGTGAAACAGCTGCACTGCTCCAGTTACTAAGGAACTTGTTTATATGACGGTTTTAAATGAAGGCAAACTTCCTTCTCTCTGTTGAACCTGCTTGTACGTATCCAGGACGCGTTAGACCAGCTGGCACCGGTCGTTAACAAACCCTGGGGCAACAAATGCATGCGTCACACACTAAAATGATTATTGTTCCTTGTCACAAGGTGCCCTCATCGACTCGGATCAATAATAAGCAGTAAGCAGGCAGTAGTCAAATGGGACTGGAATTCTTTAGTGTTACTGCAGCTGATGAGTCACTTACGTCTACATGAAGACAAACCGCTTAATGTCAATCATCACTAATTATGCAAAGCCCTTGGTGTGTTTAAAAAAATTCCTTCAAGTCTGCAGGTAAGAAAGTATGTGTAACAGTGGGACGAGACATGATTGTGAAAGGTATCAAAAGCAGCCAAAAGGTTTCATGAAGCCTTTCCAGCAGGTGATTCCTCAGAATTTCCTCGCTGTGTAAATGTCCACTTCCTTGTACCTTTACCTCAGAAAGGTAACAACAGGTAATAAAAACACTGTCTTATTCCGCTGAAGCACCAACGACTTAAATTTCTGTAAGCACACACGATTTTCCTGGTTCCCTGTGTTTAAAGGGTTATGCCATAGCAACAGAGCTTTGTGCATGTAGCCTGCGTAGCTGCACTGTGGCTTCTGTGTGTTGGGGCTGTGATGGCCACGAGATGCCGTGTGGAGACCACCTAAATTGTAACCGGCCAGTTTGTGTGGCTTGTGATTTCTGCTGCTCATTCTAATATTTTGTGATCTAGCAAAACCAGTTTTACTGACAACCTTTTCCTTGCACAATAATGGCTCCATAGTCACTCCATATCATAACTTTGGGGTATACAAGAGGGCTCGATCATGTAAGACACAGCTGTCTAGAGTTGTGAGGGTGCTATCAACGAGAGAAATCTGACACCGAGCTATAAATCAACTTCTACATCAGAGGCATCCACAGTGGGGTAACCACGTACCCTGGTGCAGTTGCATGAATCCGCCTTGAGGCTCCCCCCTTCCTTACCTTGCCCAGTAGGACGCCCATCTTGTGTCTCCAGCGGCCCTTGTTGAGAGATGCCACTCTGATCCACAGGTTGAGCTGGGAGTTATACATCCACACGTCCCTGCTGTTGATGCGGCCACCTAAAAACACCAAAAAATGCCAGACAGTTACTCACCCCAGGAAAACTTTATCTTTCTTGCATGCCTCCACTCGTCTGTTTATGCATGAGTGCTTTAAATATGTTTCAGAGAAAATGCATGCGTTTGGAATGAGCGTCCCACTTGATAAATGAGACTTGGATTATTCTGCACGACTTGTGTGAGAGTCTGTAAACAGGTGTTTTGATATAGTTTTTCTGTTGTTAAACGCGGCCCCCTATGACTTCAATTCATCAACAATTTTCTCCGTTTTTGGATTCTTCGTTCACCACCGAAGCATGCAAGAAACACAACATTTTGTTCCCAAATTTCACATATCACGGGGTGAATAACTGATATACAAATGATCATTTAGGGAGTGATGTATTCCTCTGAGACAATTTTGGGTACAGTACATTTAGCATTTCACAACATGTTATCGTTATCATTTCTAATCAAGTTGATCTGATATAAATGAGAAGCTCATAAATAAACCTGAGCAGCTCTTGGTGAACAGCCAGCTTTTGGAAAGTAATGCCTTATCTCCTCACTGCGGCAGAGTTATAAGTGTCTTATCTGACTTTGACCTGAGCTGGGTCTCCAGGGTTCACCTAGCAAATAAAAGGTTTCCTCACACACACACAGCCAAACATAAAGCAGGCTGGCTATTTAAAGAAACACACACACACCGTATCATGTTTCATTATGTATGCACAGGCGGTGAAAAACCATCAGTTCGTTTTTTAAATTATTTTTAAAAGCAAACATATCATCATGAGGATTTTTTGCAGCTAACAGAGCAGCAGTATGGCTGACGGTCTCCTTTGTTGTCTCTGGGCAAACATATGCTTTAAGAAGGTGTGGGGAATAATAACAGGCACCCGACCAGGCTACAGTGTGACCCAGACACATATTCTAACAAGCCCTGACATGTGCCCTCTCCCTCTCTCTCAACAACACCCCATTACCACTCCACCACCACCAAACACACACACACACACACACACACACACACACACACACACACACACACACACACACACCTGTCTGCTGATTCTCCACAGACTGAGGGAGAATCCAAACAAATCTTTCTCTTTTAAAAATCTCTTTTAAAAATACAACGGAGCGCTACAGGCTAACTTTTTAGCATGGAGGGCAGATAAAGAGGTGACTAAATGTAGGTGAACCCAGTCAAAACCATAAGATAATGGTGTCAAATTAAAGTTGAAGAGGGCAACTGTGAAATTATCTAAAAGCCATCTGAAAAACGAGGTAAATTTCGTGACCTCTGCCCTACTGGCATTTATCCAACAATAAGTTCAGGAGAAGTTTATCTTCAAGCACAGGTGTCGCATGGATACCAACAAGACTCAAGCACATAAACAGTCAGTGACAATCTGTGTTATTTCACACTGGGACTTTAACTGGTCACATGGTGGTGATATCGGTTAGTAAAATACACATTATGGAAATGAATATAAACACTCCTGCCTTCCAATCACACCTCTCCCTTCAGAGCAGTTTCCTTCCTAACAACAGGTATTAATACGTGATAATCTCATGAAACTAAAATACAATTTCTCAAGTTGTTGCGGTGGTGTCTGCAAACTGTCGTTGGGTGTTTTCTTTGTACAGTGAACATGTGGGTGGTTATGGAGCAATAATAAAAGCATAAAGAAAGCCTGCCAGTGTAAACAAAGGTGTCTGGACTTCTTCTGTATTCACATGCAAACAAAGGAGTTTTCTCTGTATTGTAAGCTAGCTGACCGACAGGTGGGTAGGCACGCGGTTCATCCTAACAATAAAGAAAACCTCCTTGAAAGGTCATGTATTCCAATAAAGCAGTGGTCATACACAGGTAATATAAGGTGATTAGTGTTCTGTCATTTTAAATTATACCGTAGCACACAGACAAAAAGGAGACAGGGAAAGGAAGTTAGGTGCAGCATGTGTCTGCTTGATAATCTGCTGGATAGTGAAAGAGCCAGACAGTCTGCTGACCTGCCTGAGGCCTCTGTTTCTTCAGATTTGCATGAAGGAAACACGCTGAAGGAGGACGAGCCACTTCAAAGAAAGCCTCAAAGATCTAGAAAGCTAGTTAAAAGAACTACAACTGTCAGAGGGTGGTCATTTCTCAAAAACTTAGACAGGTTGGTTTTGGGGGGGGGGGGGGGGGGGGGGGGGGGGGGGGGGGGGGGGGGGGGGGGGGGTGGCTGTCACTGCTGCTAATCACTGTTCTTGCAGCAGTTTCTTCGGGAGGCCCCAGTATGATCTGTGACAGTTGTCTGAGAGTTTCGCATCGCCTACAGTTACAGTGTCATCGTTAAATGCAAATGATCTAGCTCTGTAGGTTATAATATTCCTGTCGTCTGAGGAGGCAACGAGAGAAGTCAGGCTACTTGTAACTATTACGTGCCTTCTCTGTAATGTGTGAGGCAAGCACACATGTTCTGCTGCTCAAGCTAAGACACTGTCCAACTGTGGAGTAAAGAGACATTTATTTGATGTTTTCATATTCAAAGTAGGCATGATTCATCTTGTGAGATCAGATCATAATGAGATCTAATCTGAAGTCTTCCTGACGCCATTTCTTTGTGAAGTAAGAATGCTCACTCTAGATCTGAGAGGCCGATTACAATGCTGTGGATGTAAGAAAGTCAGTGGTGGTGGCCGGAGTCCCTGTCCCTGTCCTTAGAGGTGCAATTGAGCCACATCCTATTTAAGACCGCAGCTAACTGCAGCTGTGCTAGAGACTGGAGGCCCTCCAAGGTATTTGCACCAGTTCCCAGTGTGCAGAGACAGACAGACAGACAGAACGGAGGTATGTGTGGGAATGTAATTGAGAAGATAAAAATAAAGTCGAGAAAAGGGGATTAATTAAGGCAGATCGGGCTACAAAAAAAGAAACTGGGGCAAAGAACATCATAACATGCCTTAAAGGAGTAGTGCGTATGTGTGTGTGTGTGTGTGTGTGTATGTGTGTGTGTGTGTGTGTGTGAGACAGAGAGACAAGGGGGAGGGGTGTGTTGACTTTTCCAGGCAGCGCTTGAGGGTAGATTGATAGCGAACACGTGAGGACTTGGCACAGTGAGAGCGTAAAAAAGCAGAACACTGCACACTCTTCACTGAAGGGGAGAGCCTCTTTTTTTTCTCTGTATCTCGTTCTCCCCTTTTTTCTCTTCTCCACATCTTTCGACTGCTGTTTTTGTCCAGTAATGTTTTGGAGCTCATGTGAAGCATGTATAAGCATGAGCATTCCCAGAGGGTACATCTGAACTTGTGTCAGTGCTTATTCCTGGAAACAATTTCACTGAAAAGGAAGGAAAAACTCTCAACCTCCATGCCCCAAACCCCACAGAGCTGCATCTTGTACACAGCACGTTTACACAATGTTTGGTTTTAGAAACTACCTCATCAGTTCAGATGAAAGATGTAATGTCTTGTTTAATCTAGATCTTCTTTTTTTTTCGCCTCAGGAGGCTTACGCCACACTTGGCCTATGCTAAGTTTTAAAAACGCAGCAGCCTTGCCAGGAAGCAATGACAAATATAATATCTCAAAATCAGGTTTATTCCAAGCTAATCACATCCTGACCTGTTGGTGCAGTCTTAAATCAAAAAGGGATGTTAGATTGCTGAGTACAGAAGATCCTAGAAACCTGCTGAACCAATGTAAAAGGTGGTGACCTTGTTAAATGGCCAAAAGGAAGAGAGACGGACTGTGCTGGCCAATGAAGGCTTCTCTCAGCACTGAGCTGGAGCGTGCATCCAGATGTTACTCTCATATTTTCCTTCAACTCAAACAGGCTGTCGCTGTAAAAATAACACAGGGCCAACAGTCACCATGGCCTTTCCTGCCACTCCACTGGGGGATTCGCCGGCAAGCCAAGCCAAGAAAAAGACACTGACCATGTCCCTTAAGAGTGTACTAGTGAATTTTTCTTTTTGGGTATGGCACAATCTTACTATTATTAAGAGAAACGAAATCGAAACGAAAATCAAATATCACTGTATTTTGACCAAATATATTGATATAAAACTGCAACAATATTGTAAAGTTGACTATTAGTGATTTCAAAAAATATTTACACAACAAGATTTTTTTATAAATAATCATCAGAAATGCAGATATCATGACAGGAGGCCAAAAAAGGCAACGGTACAGGCAAATAATAGAATGAAGTCTGGTAAATTCAGAAAATCACTGTAATTGAGTCGTCAAAAAAAGGGAAAACACTTACAATAATACCAAAATCTAAGACAACAACTAGTCTCATATCACGATATCAATATAATAACAATATAATGCCCTGCCCTAAAAGTTGGTGTAGCAGTATTAGTACCAAGGCTTGAAACTGACTTCAATTTAAAAGTTACTCGTCATTTTGAATTTCCAATAGCCAACATAGATTTCCTGTGACAGAAAAAAAGTTTAAGTTGTTTATTCATTTCTAAATAGTTGAAATAAAAGACAACATGCTAGAAAAACTGTGACATCTCCAAGTGTTTACATTAAGTAGCCTTCACTATTACATGAAGCTACATGCTAGCACCAGGAAAATAATAAAATCTAATCTGATTAGATTCCTGTTGGAACATGTCCAGTTGTGTTTAAAAGCTATTATTGGTATAAAAAAACAAAAAATTTGATGGTACAAAGTGCCACTATTCTCCATTACAGTCATTCCCCTGGCTGCAAGCACACTACTACATGTAGCTACATGCTAACATCAGGGAAACTTGTAATCTGGGTTGCTTATGTTGTTACTTTCTCCCCGATTTTGGATCATGTTTCTGCTGGAACATCCGGTTGTGAAGATCTTGATTTAGTAGCTTTTAGTGGTGATTTTTCAAGACAGAAAGTGCCACTATTCTCCTTTACAGCCATTCCCCTGCATGCAAGTACACTGCTACATGTAGCTACATGCTAACGTCAGAGAAACATGTAATCTGGGTTGTTACTTTTTCCCTGATTTTGGATAATTTTGTCCAGTTGTGAAGATTTTGGTTTAGAAGCTTTTATTGGTGATTTTTCACGATAGGAAGTGCCGCTATTCTCAGTTACAGTCATTCCCCTGCAGCAATGATGGTGCAGAGATGCTGAGACATGGAAGACTCGGAAATGCCAAGCAATCAGAGCAGACTGGGCTTTTTCAGGAGGAGGGCTTAAAGAGACAGGCGGTAAAAATGGAGCGTCTCAGATAGAGGGTGAATACAGGTGTTCCAGTTCAGACAGGAAGAGGAAAATAAAGTGTTTTTTGAGCATTAAAGTAAATGTAAATGAGTTCTAGCTGAACCCTTAAATACAAGTATGAACCTGAAAATGTGCATAATATGTCATCTTTAAACTGTGCATTGCAGTTTGGATGGTGTTAATCTGAAGCCTTGATAGGACCAAGCTGTTTGAATGATATGTAACAAATGTAGTGGAGTCTTACCTGACACCAGAATGTCGTTGCGGAGGGCGCAGACAGCATACTCTGACTTGGTGAACTCAGGTAGTTTGGCCAGTGATTTCCACTCTCCTGTGACTGGATCATAGCATTCAGTGTAGGGCAGGTTGAAGCCCCCGACTCTCTCACATCCCCCCACCACCACAATCACCTCAGAGTAGCCAGTCGACCTGTACAGACAAGGCAAGGCAGAGGGGGAGACACGGAAGATTTAGAGATGGAGGGGATATGGCAACACAGCTGGAGCTATCATAAAAACACAAACATGTGACAAGCATGTTTGAATTAAAGCCTCCCGGCAAGAATGTAAAGATTACAGACATGGTATGTTATTAAAACACAGTATATCTGTAGGTCTATACAAAGGTTATGAAGACATATAAACATACATGTCAACACTTGGAAAGATTTCTAATTACAGAAGGCAGAAACTTGTGTTGGGGCAGGAACAGAGTGGTGGTTTCCCCAGGAATGGCTTCACTTATCTTAAAGGCAAAGTTCAATTTTACAATGAAGGTATCAATCAATGCAACAAAAACACACTTAAGGCTAGACTCAAGCTGAATTTCCAAGATCACAAAGCCTTCCTATTTGGCTGTTCAACACATGCCGTGGATATGACCACATTTCCTTGGGGGAGTTAATTAACCACAGCTTTTCCTATTGTGCTATTCTAAAATACTTATGCCGGATGAAGACAACCAGTGGTTTATCTGTATTTAAAAAATGCCAGTATATTTTGGGTACACTGCAAGTACACATGCAGCACAATGTTTCTTTGCACTTTCTCCAACATTACTTTGTTTACTCATGTGATATAGGCAAGGTGCTGGTGAAAGATTAGATGTTTCACGTGATTATATGCATCTACCAGACAGCCTAGCCCAGGAGTTGGCGTTGTGTGTGTTTGTACACGCAATGCATGTGTGCTTATGATTAACTAAATTCTAGAGGCTTCCCAAAAGAAAAAAAGGCGCCGTTGTAGACACAGAAAGGGGAGAAGCAGGCATCTGTTTTGAGCAGGAGCAGATTTGGCCCTCAGGGCAAACAAAGCTGACAGTGCTAGACTAACTGCCTGATTGGCTTGCTGATCCGAACAGATCTGCCTGGATACTGACACAATACACCTGATACACACGTCACACAGCCTTAATAACCGACAACTGGCACCGTTGTCAGTTGTCTCACACACAAAGGCAGCTGTACTTTTGTTTGTTGAAAAGCAGGCTACCATATGGTCCAGTTTGTCTCTCGTTCATACAGTTTCAGTCAACGCCAACTTTTGTCCTTTTCAAACAATACACTACCATCCAACTGGACACTCTTTAGACAAAAAAAACACCAGAAACATTTGGTAAATAGGTAAAAAGTGAACAGGCGCAGACTCCCTGAACCTGAACATATCAGCAAGGTGAGTGATCCCGCTGGTATGACAACAAGACTCAACATTTCATGATTGCCATTTCTTGCATCACATCATTTAGTTTCCTTCCAGCCAACCAGTCTGTGTATGCCCTGCCTACCTCATTATCATTTCCATTCCAAAATAGGGCTACAAAACACTGCTTAGTCAATGACACACTTGTCTATTCAGTACAATAACACTCCCTGTCTCTCTCTTGCACAAACTCACATGCACACTCACAAAACAACACTGCTGGGAGCACCAAGTTCATGCGCAAGTCGTAACCTCGAGCTATACAATGTTGGATAAAAGATTGACTAAGCACTTGAAAAGACATGTTTGCTTATACCACTCTGACCTCTGTCATCACTGTGTAAGAGGTGTTTTAACCATAAAGACATAACAGCTGTCAGAAAAAAATCAAACAAAATCTTTTTTTCTTTAAAAACAAAAAAAAAGGTGCATGACAAGGTAGAGATATCATTCAACACTCATATAATTGCACCAAAGCATATGTAGGAATTTAATTAAACTAACAAATCATACTGCTTCCATGAGTCAAAAATGTGATGACAAGACAAATGAATTTATGTATCTGCGTCTGTCTCCTTTTGAAAAAACCGTCTCTATTATCTGCTGCCTTCCTCATAACTTGTCAGTTCACATTTTAGTTACCTGCGAGGACGAGTTCTGGGTGACATCATTTCATTTCCGAGTACGTGGTAGCGTCTGGCCTCATGGAGGAGCTGATAGCACTCTGGAGCATTCTGGATGAGCTGGTCTCCCTCCACTGTCTGGACAAAGTAGTTGGGGTGCAGAAGGGGCAGGCGCACATGGTGCAGCAGGTCCTTCAGCATGGGCCTTCTGTGCTCCACACTGTGGTACACCCATCTCATCACTGCCTCAAACACCACCTCCTCCTTACCAACAGACAGCTCATCGCTGCCAGTGTACTCCTCCAGCTCTTCTATGCGTAGGTCGAGGAACTCCTCATGCTGAGCCACTTCTGAGAAGTTGGCCAGGGCGTAACTGCGGCAGCGGCTGGCTAACTGCTTCAGGCTATGGGCATCTGCGAAGCGCTGGATGCCCAGGCAGTTGCAAGGGTCCAGCTGGTCCTCCAGGAACTTGGCACAGGCATCACGCAGTGTGTAGATCTGGAAGAGGCTGGAGGTCTCAAAGAGGAACTGGACATTCTCTGTGGTAATTTTGGCACGGCCGGTGTAAACATAGGTGAGGAAGGAGTCCATCGCCTCAGCCAGGATGCCGTTGATCTCGACCAGCATCTCGCGGCTCTCGCGGTGATCGTTGCAGAACATGGCTCTGAAGTAGGAGGAGCAGGCAGAAAGCACAGCGCGATGGCAGGGGAACTCGCGGCCCTGCACGCTGATGACAACATCAGTAAACAGGCGGCAGTCGCGAAACTCATTGAATACCTGCAGGATGCCCTCTGAGTGGGATGAGCCAGAACAGAAGTCCAAGACTTCCTGGCTGGCTAAAGTTTTGGAGTCAACCTCAAAAACCTTCAGAGACAAAAACATGTGTAAAGATTTGTACAATTTGTGACTTTAATCAGACAAAAGCTGTAAGATAGAACACGTTTGACAGCACCTTGCGTTTGACAGCTGGTGAGTCTCTGATCCCAGAGTCCTCTCTGTTCATCCTTCTGCCCAGAATCAACACCATGGCTGCCACCTTCAACTTAGACCTTCTCGAAACTTTAGGATGACCTGAGGATAGAGAGCAGGCAGAACAATATCACTACAAAAGAGGAAAAACATGTTTCTATTAAATATCACTGTTATCACGGCATCCTATCAGATGTGGTGGGAGGGGATAGCCAGTTCATGAATTCATTATAGCAATTTAATTGGATCACTGAACTACAAATTGAAAACATTCATCATGGGCAAACAAAACACTCACAGAGCAAAGCCACAAAGCATGTGTAGGGAAAACATGTGAGTCCCACAAAAGATTTTCTTGAGCCCATGGGGTAGTGCTACAGCATCTTGTGTCACAATTTAAAGGGTAACTTCTGTATTTTCAATCTGGACCCTATTTTCCCATATACGTGTGTCTGAATGATAAATAGAGATGACAGTTTTTTGAACTGGTCCTGTATTGAGCGGAGAGCACTGCAGCGGGCAGCAGTGAAACAGATTTGCAATGTAACCACTTGGGGCATTTGTGCATCCTCAGTTTACATCCACTAAGAGTTTGTTTTTGCCACCGACAGGCTCATATTTTTATTCCAAGTGTCCGACAGAAAGGATCCCTACAGAGATAAGAGAGTAAGATCCTTTTTAATGAACCAGAAACAGCCCCAAAATTGCTATCGACAAACCCACCACTCTCCATTTAGATAAACAGTAGTTTTAATGTATATAGTGCCAGCTTATTTTGACATCTAACTGTGAGAATTAAGGGTTTATTTCAACCAAGCCAGAGTTGGTAATTGTTGGAACAGTGGAAAGACAAACCACACTTGTTTTTATGAGTTTTATTTTGTGCTTGTCGACTCTGAATGAAGTGTGTTTTAAATGGAGTCTGGCGGGTTTGGCAATTGCAATTTCAATGCTGTTTCTGGTTAAACATAAAGGATCTTTCTTTTCAACATGAAGTCTATCTCTGTAGGGATCCTTTCCAGGATGTTGTCAGATACTTGTAATAACAATCTGAGCCTGTCAGTGGCAAAAACAACCACTCTTTGCCAGTTAATGTTACATTTCAGCCTGCTGCTGTCTGTTGCAACGGTCTCACTCAACACTAGACCAATTTAAAAAGTTGTTGCTCCCATTAGTCAGACACAAAAACAAAGCAAGGTAAGGTCCAGGTTGAAAAATACCACTTAAAGAACAGTAGTTTCCAGGAATTAAACATCTGAGCTGTACACAAATCTGCATGACAGTTCCTCTAGCTCATCATCACTACTGCGAAAACAGTTGTGCCCTGCAGCGCAATGAGCTGCACGAGATGGATGATGACAAAGAGACAAGAGGCGGGAGGGAGGTTGAGCAACGGTAGGAAGACCAACCTACATTTGAGTCAGGTTTGTTTTGAAAGAGAGTGGGGGCAGGGATGCTATCAGACACCACATATAATCATTGTTGGAGCAACAAGTGCAAAGTCAGTGCTACTGATAACCTTGACTCATATTTTCTTATTTAAGTAAACCTGTGGTTTTTAGACATTTATCTACTTATAACAAAGATGTGTGTGTCACATGAATCTGATTACATCCACAAAGGCTGTGTGGATGTGTCTCTTTAGGACAGCAAACTCTAAAGCTCTTTCAGATATCTCCTCAAAACATTAAACTCTCTTATCTATGGCCATACTGCTTGTGTTAAAGTTGGCAGCAGGTCTGGCCTTTCCTCCTGTGAGGTCATTTATCTCTGGTTATTTTTAACTGAGGCTGCTGCCTGGGCAGACTCAACCTTATTCACGTGTGTTATTTGCATGCAGCAGCACCTCCTTGAAGTCGTGTGGACCAGAAGACAGGTTTAGCCAGAGGTGTCTGACGCATGAAATCTTTACTTTGTGACTAATATCAACGTAGAAGGGTTAAATAAGACAATTAAAAAAACAAAACAATGACATAAAATGACATAAAGCAGATTTTTTAGGGAAAAAAATACAATTTGCTGTTATACATGTAAAATAAAGCAAAATTAACAGATGCTAATGAGATAATTGTACAAGAAATACATATATATTTTTGTTGCTGCTATTTTAAACATTCAACCTTTGGACTGTGGCATTATATTCCAGTATTTAAGTATTTATTACAGTCACGTAAAATATATTCATGTACACGCGTTGCCAGATAATTATAAAGGCAGAAAACACAGTGCTCCAGTTACATAGACAAAGGAGACTTGCCTCGTGCCGACCGTTAGCCCCTGACAACACGCTGAAAAAAACGTTAGCTTAGCCGTTGCTTTACTCCACATATTGAGACAAGTTCCAAGAAAAATAAAGTTATATCACTAAATTCAGGACTTTTAACCTCTTTAACGACGTCTTTAGTTATAGACAAGTTATTACCTCACACCGACGTTTCCAGATGAAGCTTCCTCTCCAGTTACAAGTGGACAAAACAAAATATTGAAAAAAATAAAAAAAAAAAAGTATGGAGGCAAATAAATCTGTATCCTGAAACCGTTTATCAGTATCTGTTATAATATCTGCCCCTCGGATAAGTTATGGCAAACAACGTAAGCTGTTACACAGCCGCGACATTTTGACTTTGAAGTGATGACAAAAACAAAGAGCTCTAACTAGCTAACAGTAAACACTGGACCCATATATACTTGTCAGCCGAAAAAAAAAAAAAAAAAAAGAAAAAAATCCGGCCCGCTGCGCCCACTCAGCTGGTGCTGCCGGTGCATCATGGGTAGTTGAGTTCCAATGGCTGCTGCCGCTTACTGTCAACCCTAATCAGGAAACGACACTTCCCATGAGCCTCTCGTTCTCCACGTGGCTGTCCTTTGTTTGCAAACAAACTTATCAGGGTGAAAAAGTTAGGAAGAAGTGACGGCGGGTGAGCAATACACGCGAAACAACCGCAGTTTTACGGCGGTATTTGTGTAAAACTGAAGAAGACATTTTGTACCACAATATTAATAGTACACTGTACACCTAAATATCGTTATATATACTTTAATACCCTGTATGTATATAACAACAGCCTTCCGTGTATTGACGTTGTCACACTGACACACAATGGCACATAAAAAACATTGATGTAATGTGATACTGAGGACACGTGAAAACAGGATGAAACGAAGCATGCTGCGTTTTTTTCCCAGGTGAGGAGGAAGGAGGAGCTAAGTTGGAACAAAGTGTCACAACTTCCTCAGTCTGTTGCAAAATATTTCTGAGAGCTCCCAGCAGAGTTCCCTGAAATTGTCCACGCTGTAACAGTTCCCCTATTTACCCTGTTTTGGTGCATGTGCATAGTATTCGAGAGCACTGTTCCCTTTACACATCATAGCTACTTATGTCAGTGGAAGTTACAGCTTGAGTGTGTATGTGTATATTACAGAATATACACATACACACTCACTGGCCACTTTATTAGGTACACCTTGCTTGTACAAGGTTAGACCCATTTTCTTTCAGAGCTACCTTAATTCAGAATCAGAATTAGAACCAGAAATACTTACTATTGATTCCCGAGGGGAAATTGTTGTGTTACAGGTGCTCCTTGCAAGAGAGGAAAGATACATGAAAATCTAAGAAATTTAAACAATAGTATTTACAAATATATAGTTAAAATAAACAGGAATTTTAACAAAAAAATAAAAAGAATAAATAAATATATATACATATATATACATATATATATATATTTCTTTCTTTCTGACATAGATTCAACAAGTTGCTGGAAACTTTCCTCTGAGATTTTGGTCCATGTTGACATGATGACATCACACAGTTGCACTGTATCAAATGATTCTGTGGTCATGCAGATTTTCAATAATGCATTAGGTAGAAAAAGATTTCCACACACTTAAATACATCTATGGTCTATTAGACCTTCATCAGAGTATACATATGCATACGTATACGATGTGAGACCGAGTGACGTGGAGCGGTAGCTATTCTGCATCGAATAACACATTAGGTAACATTTATTTAATCCTTGATTTTGTAGATATAATTTAAGTAAGTATGAAATAAAAAAAAGTTTGGAATAAAATCCACTTATTATAACTAAATAAAACAGACGCCTTCTGTTTATGTCATTTTAAAAAGAGAGAAAATTGAGTGAATCCATACTAATGCCACCATGTGGGTTTTAATTGAGAAGCACTTCCTGTCTTAACCCGCCTTTTTGAATGCAGCAGGCTATATCATCTAGCCACAAGACATTGAAGAGAGTGCAGATGGCAAGTGCCTCATTTCTCATCTCACAAATACTTATGTAAGCTGTTTGGCTAAGGTAAGGAGACATATTTTGTGATCACTTTAAACTGTCAACTGTTAAATAACACGATTTTATGGTTTGCTAAAAATGCATTGTTTTTAGATAGATGGCTGATGTGTTTTTCACTATTGTGACTCACTACACATGCTGCTTAATGTTATTTTTTCACGCTGCAGATTCGTCTCTCGTTCCACCACATCCCAACGGTGCTTTCAGAGGTTGAGATCTGGTGACTGTGGAGGCCATTGGAGTACAGTGAACTCATTGTCATGTTCAAGAAAGAAAAGTTTGAGATGATTTGATCTTTGTGACATGGTGCGTTATCCTACTGGAAGTAGCCATCAGAAGATGGGTAAACTGTGGTCATAAAGGGATGGACACGGTCAGCAACAATACTCAGGTAGGCTGTGGTGTTTAAACCATGCTCAGTTGGTACTAAGGGGCCCAAAGTGTGCCAAGAAAATATCCCCCACACCATTACACCACCACCACCAGCCTGAACCGTTGATACAAGGCAGGATGGATCCATGCTTTCATGTTGTTTACACCAAATTCTGACCCTACCATCTGAATGTGGCAGCAGAAATCCAGACTCATCAGACCAGGCAACGTTTTTTCAATCTTCTATTGTCCAGTTTTGGTGAGCCTGTGTGAACTGTAGCCTCAGTTTCCTGTTGTTAGCTGACAGGGGTGGCACCTGGTGTGGTCTTCTGCTGCTGTAGCCCATCTGCTTCAAGGTTGGACGTGTTGTTGGTTCAGAGATGGTCTTCTGCAGACCTTGGTTGTAACCAGTGGTTATTTGAGTTCCTGTTGCCTTTCTATCATCTTGAACCAGTCTGGCCATTCTCCTCTGACCTCTGACATCAACAAGGCATTTTCACCCAGAGAACTGCCGCTCACTGGATATTTTATCTTTGTCGGACCATCCTCTGTAAACCCTAGAGATGGTTGTGTGTGAAAATCCCAGTAAATACTCAGACAAGCCCGTCTGGCACCAACAACCATGCCACGTTCAAAGTCACTTAAATCACATTTCTTCCCCATTCTGATGCTTGGTTTGAACTTCAGCAGGTCGTCTTCACCATGTCTACATGACTAAATGCAGAGTTGCTGCCACATGACTGGCTCATTAACAATTTGCATTAAGCAGCTGAGCAGGTGTACCTAATAAAGTGGCTGGAGAGCATATACTGTTCACTTTTGTACTCCTGAAATGTAACAGCTTTCAGATTACCAGGTACCCTGTTAAAATGTATTAATATACCTACTTTGATTGCATAATCAAAGTAATGTAACCTATTACATCTGATTACAGGTGCTGGTGGTATATATTATATACACTCATTGGCCACTTTATTAGGTACACCTTGCTTGTACCAGGTTGGACCCCTTTTTCCTTCAGAGCTGCCTTAATTCTTCCTGTCATAGATTCAACAAGTTGCTGGAAACATTCCTCTGAGATTTTAGTCCATGTTGACATGATGACATCACACAGTTGCACTGTATCAAATGATTCTGTGGTCATGTAGATTTTCAGTAATGCATTAGGTAGAAAAAGATTTCCATACTCTTACATCTATGCAGTGTTTCACTTTATTGTTGAGCTTTCGGTCTATTACACCTTCATCAGAGCAGACATATGCATACATATTATTATTATTATTCCTGCAAGGCAACATAATTAATGTTATATTCTACAAACACGCTTTTTACCGAAAATAATATCTTTGGATGTTACCCTCATCAACTGTGTGTAACTGTTATTTAATTACATTTTTTTCTCTGACACTATGTCTATTTTGTAATTAATCTATGTAGCTATACACCATATTTGTGTGTGTGTCTGCTGTCTTTGTCCTTTAAGTCACAGGGCCACCACTCATCAGACCATGAATGCAGAGCAGGACCACTCACAGTCACAGGTCTCTGTCCCTGAAGTCAGTGCAGTGAACGGGCTTTTGTCACCAACAGTAAAACAAACCAACTGGAACATCCAGCAGTTTAGACACATCAGCAGCTGCACAAGGCAGGTTGTTTTGGGCACCTGCTGTACAAGTTCACCAGGACAACAAGTAGTCAGAGAAAACCACGAGGAAGACTCTCAAGATAACTGAGCTTCACTGCCAAGAGCAAACATGTCCAATAAAAACAAGGTAATCAATCAAACAGAAGAGCATCAGACATGTTGTATGGTGCCATAGAAACTGATACAAAAATGAGCAAACAATAAATGTGATATTTGTGTGTATCTGATCCACCTGCAGATGTAGACAGGCTGGCAGTGAGCGAGGCTCAGTGGCTCGATAACAAGCAAACATGCTTAAATTTGCCGCAGGAAAGAGCCATGACGCAGCCCCGTGGACAGACAAATGTGTCCCTCTGCTGTTGAGTGGTTGTACCGGTTGATGTCACACCGCAGACACAAAGATAAGTCCCTGCAGCAAGGATGTCTGACTCATCACTATCCACCACACCTTCCTAAACGAGGGAAGGTGTTCTGTCAGTCAGCCAGTTGTTAATGATCTTGGACAGGCAGATTTAGACAAACACGGCTTTGAGGGCAAATGGAGTAAAGTGCTTGGCTACAACAGTATGATCATAAACCTGAGGCTTAGTGTCACGTTCTGCCCAGCTTTTACATTACATAATGAGGATAAAATACACATATGGGTTGCACAGTTTATTTATTTTTTAAATCATGGGATTAAAGACGCCTCAACACTGAGACATAAACTCAGAAGGCAAGCATATTCTCATTCAGATCCACACATGCATTAAACTAGCTCTCATTACACACACAACACACACGATGACAGGTAGCAGGGGTGTTGGATCACTAATTTACAATTCACCGTAACCATGATATGTGTTATTTAGAAGAAAAGAGCAGAATGACAAATGAGGCTCGCTGAGGTGATGCAATGGAAAACATGGACAGGGCAGTAAGCAGGGCTGTAGCTACCACTGGGAACACAGGGGACATGTCCTGAGTATTGTTTCTGGGAATATGGGGAGTTTAACGAGCTGAGGAGGAGTTTATGTTCTAAATTTAGACACAAATTACACATGGTGTTTTAGAGTCACTATTTTTACATTTGCTGCTGTAAAGCCAAAAAAAGAAAGATAAAAATAAAGGGATTTTAGGGTTACTTGGACATGGAATTTAGACAATATACACCAATAAACAATATATTTTAAAGGTCCTATTTTATGCTCATTGTAAGTTCATGCCTGCATTTTTGGTTTCTGCTTGAAAAAGTTTCATGCTTTAATGTTCAAAAAACACTTTATTTTCCTCAAACTGTCTGCCTGAATATACCTGTATTCACCCTCTGTCTGAAAAGCCCCGTTTTATTACCTGTCTCTTTAAGCCCCCACTGATAAAAACAGCCCGGCTCGCTCTGATTAGTTAGTGTTCACATCACAACTTCCCAGAAGTCCTGACAGCTCATTCAAAGGCACAGTTTCTGAATACAGACTTGATGCATTTCTCTGTGGACTGAGCGTTTTGACACTTTAACAGTATTTATATAGCACCTATACCTGCTCTATAATAAAAAGAAGACATGGATATTAGATTTTTTTTATGATATGGGACCTTTAAATGAATGTAGAAAATGTGGAAATAGAAAAATAGACTCTTTTTGATGGCTAGTCAAAATAAAATTGCCTTTGGGGGATCTGAACTCATCCTGGTTACTGTCCTTACAGTTACAACAGAAAATATGTGCATCACAAATAAATCCATTGGAGACATTTTGATAAACAGACAGTCTGTAAGTGTCTTCTTTTAACCTGTGATCTGGCCGAGTCTCCTGTGCTGTTTCAGCAGCTGCATCAGAGTGTCAGAGAGCTCCCTGTACCGCAGCCCATACAGGTATGGAGCAAACGCTCTGGGCAGCAACATGAGAATACACATATTGATTGTGCTGATCCACACACGAACATCCTGACTTATGTCTTTCCTCAGAAACAGGGAGAGCTCCAGAGTGAATACAAAGCCGGGGACAAAGTAGAGCAAGAGAAGAACCCCGTGAGCCAGCAGCGTGACCCGGGCCCTGGAGAAGCGGTTCTGCCAGATGCCTTGGGTCCTTGTTACCATGTAGAGCCGAATGTAGCAGTATAAAATGAGTATAGTACAGATGAGTGCAGTGATGAAGAAGTAGATGTGGATCTGATCTCTGTTCTGGCCCTCAATGAAGCCGAGGGAGATGAGGACCAGGCACACAGCTCCCGTCTCATGAGGAGTCACCTTCTTCACCTCCATTATGATCACCAAGGTGAACGGGTACATGGCTGCCAGCAGCCACACCCCCACCAAAATGCGGCGGATGCGGGCTGGTGGAAGAATGTCATGGTAACGGAGAGGCCAGCGAACCGCAGCGTAGGTGTCGACCACCATGAGGGTGACTGTGAGGATGGCACAGCAGTAGACGGTGACAGTGACGGCTGTGACGAGCTCACACACCAGCCAGTGGAATCGAGCTTTGGCAGCATTACATATCACCATAGTCAGGTTGAGGATGAGGAAGAGGATGTCTGCTGTCAGGGTGTTGGCCACTAGAACGTAACGTGTCTCCTGACGCAAGGCACGGGACAGAAAAATGGACGTCAGGAGAATGGGGTTTGCCAGCAAGGTGGCCAGAGTGATGACTGTAGCAGGGATGATAAACAAATTTAGGTTCCACTTCCGTATACACTCCTCCCAGTCCTGTGTGATGTTTGAAATGGAAATGAACACTGATGAGGTCATTTTGTCTTTTGAGGAATGGAGGCACAGATGCTCTGACTGAGGTGTGTTTTATGATGTGTTGACTACTTCCTCCAGCAACTTCCTGTTAATGAAAAGACCATAAATTAATATCAGCAGAGTGGACCACGTAAAAAAGGAAGCACGTTTATGCATCCAAATACACAGTCTAGTGCAGTGATGGTTCCCAACTGGTCCAGCGACAGGGTCTAGATTTCTCCTTGGTCATTGGTTCACAGTCCACACAGGTGAATCTATTCGTCATACTTGTGCTTGGCCATGTCGTTGAACTAGTTTGCTGTCTCTGTTAAGTGGCAGTCTGTTTGTCAGTCACACTACAGCAGGATACGGCACTTCAAAATGAAATCTCTGTGCCGGAAATTCACTGTACTCCAAAATAAAGTGTGTTTTTTACAAACTTCACACATTTGCAAGTCACTTGCGGTCCATTCAGAATGGACCCGTGACCCACCAGTTGGGAACCACTGGTCTACTGTATGAGTAGTGGGACTATTTTACATATATTTTTCATATAATTATAACCAAATTAACTGCTGTGAGAAAATAAGTAACAGTAACAGTAACTGAAATATGAAAAATGAAATATGGTCTTTAAACAATATCTCTCAAGGTGTTCATACCCATCCAACGCATTCTCACTCCGACCTCGTCACAGACTGACGTTTGGTCATGGACTTTCCATGTCCACATATGACGTGAAAGGTACCCTGGGTGCGTTGGTTGTTGAGGGTTACATGCATTGTCTTCTTTCAAAATACACTTCTGTTTTCACAGGAAATTCACCATTCACATACAGTCTCTTTCAAAATAAAAACACTACGTTGGTTTCTACACTACACTACTTTTTTACCTTCAACAACAAACACGTGGTTGGGTTTAGGCAAAAAGAACAGGGTTTGGCTTTAGAATCTTACGGGACATGAACACCACTCTCACTGGTGAAAGTCAGTGTTTCTTGGACCCATCCATCATTAATCCCGCCCGCCCCAGTTGGACTTTTGCTGCCTTAACTTTTGTCCCTGTCCTGCTGTGTTTCCCCCTGACGCTGCCACTCACTATTAAACTACTACGACCGTGCATCATCCCAACATTAAAGAATGCCTTTTTTTGTTGGTTTTGTGACGCCACAAGACGACTTCTGCAAAGGCGTAGGTTTGTTTTAACATCAGGTTTGACACATTAATATAGCTCCAACAGAAATTTTGAGCATTAAACACTTAATTTTCTGCATTTTGGTGATTTTTTCTGCATCAATTTATGGTGTAAATTTCTTTAATTTTGTCAAAATAAAATCCTTCCCTATTTACATGTTTTTACTGGGGGGGGGGGGGGCACATGCATGTGATCTAAACTTCTAGGGGAATGTGTCCCTTGTGCCTCCCACAAAACCTAAACACAGTCCTAAAATTTTGCAGTTCCCTCTTCGCTATTTATAGTCCAGGCTGGATTAGTTCAGTCAACACCATTACGAAAATGAAAAGCCAACATTCAAATATGAACGCACAGTAGAAGACTTAGCCCGTTGTGTTTTATGTTGCCAAAGAAAACAAATGCAAATGAACAAGCTGAAGCTGTCTGTTGTTAAGTCAATGCAAGCTGCATTATAAAATACACATTAAAATTTTACATTTTAAAAATGAACAATCAACTGCAGCTGCAGTTTGAGTGGAACATAATTTTTTAGAACTTAATATACATAAATTTCCCGACACTCTTGGGTTGGCATCAGTATTAAAAGCTAAAATGAAAATTTTAATAATGCAAACATAATTATGCCACTGCCACCCCCTGCACAAATGCCGACAAACACTTGAGACTAAAAAAGATAATTGCTTGGTTCTATTTCTATGTCTTTGTGAGAACACACACATCGACAAATTATTGATTGACCAAAGGTAGGTTTTCTTACCTGATGTCCCAGACAGAAAAACCTCTCTGTATTAGTCCATTAGGACTTTACGCTTCGATAAATCAATGGATGTTTTGTACGACTGGTCTCACACGCTGGCCTTATCTGATGTACTCTGTTGACTCACACAGATAATATACTGTAAGGGATGGAGAAAGCTACAGCCACTCGTCAGTCACATAGTTACAGGGTGGAGCTTTTATCCTCTTCGCTGCTTCTCATGCTGTCACTTTTTCCATGTTTTATATCCAAGAAGTTTTAAGTGGCTTGATTCAAGAAAGCCATTTGAAAACCATCTTGTTTAAATTGATTAGATTCACATTTTCATCTTACTGGAATTTACACCAATCATCAATGATGTCAAACTCTAATTGCTTTAAAGGGACAGTTCACCCCAAATCCCAAAAAAAATATTCCTCCTCTTACCTGTAGTGCTGTTTATCAGTCTAGAATGTTTTGGTGAGTTGCAGAGTGTTGGAGATACCGGCTGTAGAGATGTCTACTTTCTCTCCAATATAATGGAACTAGATGGCACTCGGCTTGTGGTGCTCAAAGCACCAACAAAATATACATTTGAAAAACTCAACAGCAATGTCTCTTTCCAGAAATCATGACCTGGTTGCTCAAGATAATCCAGACTGTTTTGAGCAGTTTCATGTAGGAGCTACACCTGCAAATCATATCATCGCGCAGGAGGAAGTGTGCATTTACTGCTAGCTTACCTAGCACCACTAAGCTAGCTAATGTTAGCACTCTCACAAGCATGAACCTCTTGTCCATGAGTAGATGCACACCTCCTTCTGCGTGGTGATAAGCTTGGCAAGTTTAGCTTGGTAAAAAGAAATTAGTTCCTACATGAAACTGCTCACAACAAGGTCACCATGCAGAAGGAAGTGTGCAACTACTCATGGACAAGAGGCTCGAGCTCATGACAGTGCAGGATATAAACATTACTGCCGCCCTTCTTGGCTGAGCTGTAACATTAGCTAGCTCGTGGTGCAAGGTGAGCGAGCAGAAAATGCACTCTTCCTTCTACATGGTGATACGGTCGGCGGGTGTAGTTTGTCAACGAGAAAATAGTTTCTACATGAAACTGCTCACAACAAGGTCTGTGGATTATCTTAAGTAACAGGTCATGATTTCTGGAAAGAGACATTGCTGCTGAGTTTTTCAAATGTATTTTTTGAGTGCCACCTAGTTCTGTTATATTGGAGAGAGAGCAGACATCTCTACAGCCGATATCTCCAACATTTGGCTATTCTCTACTCGCAGGGGCAGCAGGCTGAGCAAAGTGCCCCAGACGTCCCTTTCCCCAACAACACTTTCCAGCTCCTCCTGGGGGACTCTGACGTGTTCCCAGGCCAGATGAGATATGTAATCCCTCCAGTGTGTTCTGGGTCTGCCCCGAGGCCTCCTACCAGTGGGATGTGCCCAGAACACCTCCAACGGGAGGCACCCAGGGGGCATCCTGATTAGATGCCAGAACCACCTCAACTGACTCCTTTCCACGCAAAGGAGCAGCGGCTCTACTCTGAGCTCATTCCGGATGTCCAAGCTCCTCACCCTATCTCTAAGGCTGAGCCCAGCCACCCCACGGTGGAAACTCATTTCGGCTGTTTGTATCCATGACCTCATTCTTTAAGTCACTACCCAGAGCTCGGTCACCAAAAGGAAAAATATGAATTTTTGATTTTGGGCTTAATTGTCGCTTCAGCTTGTGTTGAGTCACTTAAGGGAAGTCAAAAGCTTTTCGACCATGAAAAGAATATATGTAAGAAAATATTCACCACATTCCCATCCAACAAGTGTGACTCATCCATATATTGGTCATCTATCAATCTAACCACACTGACGTCACCACATTTTGCGCATTGACGCTGTCACTTAATGAACACAGAACCTCAAATTAAAAGAGGCCACTTGGTTCCAATCTGTTACCACAATGGGCACAAAAGAGAACAAGCTAGGTAACGATACCTGCGACATTGTTTCCCATGTGTGTTTTAGATGAGAATTTTCTAAGCACTTCATGACAAATCTGAGTTCAACAACCTGATGAAAGGAAACATTTTATTAGTTTATCACCATCAGATTTTCTTATCATGTAATTCCTCCTTCAAACCCAGTCCTTCCCATAGTGTTCTGTCATTTCTTTCTCCTCCTCTTCCTGTATCCATCTCTCCCTCTACTCTCCTCATCGTCTTCAACTTCCTCTTCCTCGCCACCGTCACTATCAGCTTCAACGGTGCCCCAGTGCTTCTCCTCTTCCTGCCATTCTCTTGCCATCAGTCTCTTAAATACATCGTACTCCTCCGCTGACGCATTGGCAACATGTTGGAGGAACGTGTCCTCGTCAGCGCTGAGGATGCTCTCCAGTTTGGGGTTAATGATGAGCGTCTGTCCCTTCTTGTCTGGGGTCTGATACAGGCCCCTGCGCTCCAGAAAACAGTGTCGACAGCGCACCTCATCCAGAGTGAAACGGAACAACCTGCACTTCGCCATCTCCGCCTGTTTGACACCCATTCGGAAGTAGACGTACTGTGGAGAGATGAGTTAATACATGCTGTTACAAACAAGAAAGTAAGATGTAACTTAACATGGCTACACGGCATATATCAGATTATTTATAATAATAACTTTATTTGTAGAGCACTTTTTGAGCTGCTTTCCAATGTGCAGAAATGTAAGCATATCCATATGCCTTTAATTAATATACCTGTAAGCATGCATACATATACACATGGCTGCAAATACATACACTCCCATACATACAATAAGCCCATCAACTGTCAGGAGAGGCCAATCTGTAAAAGTTTTCAGACGAGATTTAAAGACATGAACGAAGACGTGAAAGGCTATTCCAAAGCCGAGAGACAAGAACTGAAAAGGATCGACCACCCTTTGTCTTTAACCTGGACTCTGGTGCCAGATCATTGAGAGCCTTGTACGTACAGTACAGGCCAAAAGTTTGGACACACCTTCTCATTCAATGCATTTTCTTTATTTTCATGACTATTTACATTGTAGATTCTCACTGAAGGCATCAAAACTATGAATGAACACATGTGGAGTTATGTACTTAAGAAAAAAAGGTGAAATAACTGAAAACATGTTTTATATTCTAGTTTCTTCAAAATAGCCACCCTTTGCTCTGATTACTGCTTTGCACACTCTTGGCATTCTCTCCATGAGCTTCAAGAGGTAGTCACCTGAAATGGTTTTCCAACAGTCTTGAAGGAGTTCCCAGAGGTGTTTAGCACTTGTTGGCCCCTTTGCCTTCACTCTGCGGTCCAGCTCACCCCAAACCATCTCGAATGGGTTCAGGTCCGGTGACTGTGGAGGCCAGGTCATCTGCCGCAGCACTCCATCACTCTCCTTCTTGGTCAAATAGCCCTTACACAGCCTGGAGGTGTGTTTGGGGTCATTGTCCTGTTGAAAAATAAATGATAGTCCAACTAAACGCAAACCGGATGGGATGGCGTGTCGCTGCAGGATGCTGTGGTAGCCATGCTGGTTCAGTGTGCCTTCAATTTTGAATAAATCCCCAACAGTGTCACCAGCAAAACACCCCCACACCATCACACCTCCTCCTCCATGCTTCACAGTGGGAACCAGGCATGTGGAATCCATCCGTTCACCTTTTCTGCGTCTCACAAAGACACAGCGGTTGCAACCAAAGATCTCAAATTTGGACTCATCAGACCAAAGCACAGATTTCCACTGGTCTAATGTCCATTCCTTGTGTTTCTTGGCCCAAACAAATCTCTTCTGCTTGTTGCCTCTCCTTAGCAGTGGTTTCCTAGCAGCTATTTGACCATGAAGGCCTGATTGGCGCAGTCTCCTCTTAACAGTTGTTCTAGAGATGGGTCTGCTGCTAGAACTCTGTGTGGCATTCATCTGGTCTCTGATCTGAGCTGCTGTTAACTTGCGATTTCTGAGGCTGGTGACTCGGATGAACTTATCCTCAGAAGCAGAGGTGACTCTTGGTCTTCCTTTCCTGGGTCGGTCCTCATGTGTGCCAGTTTCGTTGTAGCGCTTGATGGTTTTTGCGACTCCACTTTGGGACACATTTAAAGTTTTTGCAATTTTCCGGACTGACTGACCTTCATTTCTTAAAGTAATGATGGCCACTCGTTTTTCTTTAGTTAGCTGATTGGTTCTTGCCATAATATGAATTTTAACAGTTGTCCAATAGGGCTGTCGGCTGTGTATTAACCTGACTTCTGTACAACACAACTGATGGTCCCAACCCCATTGATAAAGCAAGAAATTCCACTAATTAACCCTGATAAGGCACACCTGTGAAGTGGAAACCATTTCAGGTGACTACCTCTTGAAGCTCATGGAGAGAATGCCAAGAGTGTGCAAAGCAGTAATCAGAGCAAAGGGTGGCTATTTTGAAGAAACTAGAATATAAAACATGTTTTCAGTTATTTCACCTTTTTTTGTTAAGTACATAACTCCACATGTGTTCATTCATAGTTTTGATGAATTCAGTGAGAATCTACAATGTAAATAGTCATGAAAATAAAGAAAAAGCATTGAATGAGAAGGTGTGTCCAAACTTTTGGCCTGTACTGTAGTTAAAAGAACTTTAAAAGGGATTCTAAAAAGAGACTAGAGGCCAAAGCAGGGAAGCCAAAAGAGGCGTCCTGTTCTGGTCAAATGTCTAACTGCTGAAGTTTTTAACGATTTGGAGCTGGTATACAGGTGAAAAAAGACATTACAGTAATCAATATTAGTGGCTAAATAATCAGTTTCACAGTTAATAGCAGCACAAAACCTGAAATGAACCTTTCTTACAACACTGATCTATTCACAGCCACAGTTGCAAAAGGATGTGGAGTTCAGTTATGACCACCAGAGGGAGTATTGTAGCAGTGTCCCAACTCCATGCTGCACAGCAGGTTCAGAAAATGTAAAGGCGGCCTATACGAACGGGGACATCCGGCCCAGATGCCACCTCTGAGCGGCCCAGCATTCATAAATCTGATATACCAATATAACTGAAATATGTTAACTACATTTAGTGCTCTGAAGTAGCTAACGATAGAGCCATCTCGCTTCCCTCTCATCTTTGTTGAGCTACACATGCACAGTGCCAACTAGGCAGGCTCGATGGATCGGTATATCGAAATTGCCAGTTATATCGTTCAGAAATCAGCTTTCTTCTCATGCTGTGACTCAGTTATGACCACACTAATAGCTGTCTTCTCCTAAAACTTTTCCTTGACCTCGATGGTAAACGTCATGAGGTGACGTGAGGTGAGGTTTGTGTGTGAGGCAGAGAGGGAGGTAAATACTGGAAGAGAGAGATAGTGTTTTATTGGTTATTTTTATTGCCACCTGTTATGGTTTTGTGAACTGACGGCATTAATAGCTCTTTTTTTGTTTTGTTTCTGCGCTATGTGAAGTGCCTGGGTCAGATATGTGACCGTCACTTCTTTATTTTGACAGTGAAACAATGAGCATTGCTATTTTTCACTATGTTCATCTGTATGTTTAAAATTTGTCATTACCAAAAGCTAAAAAAAAAAATTCTTTTTAAATCCGCCCCGATTAAATTTGTAACTGAATAGCTCTGACGTCGAGTGTTTACGCTGGGGGGGAAAAAAAAGCATGGACATTAAAAATGTTTAGCTCTGAGTGTGCTGTTAATGGACACTATTGTCCTACAACGCAAGGAAATTAATGAGCTGCTCCCGGCTGGATAGAAATCAAATTGTGGATGGTGGTGAAACAGCTGCTGGTACACGACATGAATAAATACTGTCTGTTTGTGAAGTGTGTATCAGAGACTGACATCTGTCAGCATTTGTCTTGAATCATTTCCTGTTAGGGCACAGCGATGTTGATTTCTTGTGTACTAAATAGAAAAGTAAATAGTGTACACTGTATGTAATTACTGTCTGGTTTGAATTGGGACACAGTCTATGTGAATAGCGAGGGTGTTGTCTTTTACAGCTGTGACCTTTGATGTGATGTTTGGTCAAGTTTTGAGGAAGTCAATAAATCTGCGGTTGACCATGAGAACAGTACTTTATACATTGGGAGCTGCTGCCTGACTGAAGAGCTATTGAACTTCTTTATAGTTCAATTAGCCCTGCAACTAATGTTGATTTTTTATATCCTTCTTTTTCTTTAACTTTGATGACTACGGCTCATAAAAATAAAGAATCCAGTATCTCAAAATATTAGAATATTATGTACGCAATCAAAAAAAAAAAAAAAGAATTTATAATACAGAGATGTCGACTATCTGAAAAGTATGTTCATTTATGCACCTAATACTTGGTCAGGCCTCCTTTTGCATGAGTTACTGCATCAGTGCGACATGACATAGGGGCCATCAGCCTGTGGCACTGCTGGGGTGTTATAGAAGCCCAGGCTGCTCTGATAGCGGCCTTCAGCTCGTCTGTATTGTTGAGTCGGGTGTCTCTCATCTTCCTCCTGACCTGAGCCGCATAGACTGTCTGTGTGGTTCAGGTCACGGGAGTAGCAGTAAGGATGCATTCACACTGGAGCCATTTGGTCCGCTTTAAATGAACCCTGGTCTGCTTCCACAGATAGTTCGCTTCGTTTGGAGTGGTGTGAGCGCTCATTCGTACTCTGGCACGGACCAAAGGAGCAAACCCTGGTCCGCTTGAAAACTGGGGGTCTTGGTTCACTTGCAAGTGAACCCGGGTGCGGTTCGCTTACAGTGGGAAATGCAAACAGACTATCCAGTGAACTAAAGAGAGGAAGTGACGTAGAGCGCAATGCATTTTGGTGCTTAGTGTTTTTGTGGTGACCAAGCCAGCTGAAGGGGATGGATTTCTGTTTTTGGATGAGCCGGGTTTTCTTCTTCCTCATGCTTTTTTTCTTCATGGTCAGTGGTCGTTTCGGGCAATACCGCCCCCAAACGATCAGCTGTTGTAATTGTGTGATGTCCAGGTGGTTTGGTCCACTTTAAAAAGTGCAGTGTGAAAGTGAACCAAACCAAATGAAGGTGTGAAATTTTTCGGCATTCCCCACCCAATCGAACCGAGTCCCCCGCACTATCCTGGTGTGAATGCACCCAAAGAGATTAAAGGCTCAGGAAACCTTTGCAGGTGAGTTAATTGGCTGATTAGAGCTCTTCTCAAGACTGTGTGAGCCTGGAATAAATACAATTTTCCATTCTCACATAACAGAAGAAATATTCAACTTTTTCACAGTATCCTAATTCACTGAGATGCACCTGTGTGTCTCTAAAACTGCCTCATTCTTCTCTTGTCTTGTTTACATGCTGACCTGAAACTTGTACTCCAGCTGATCCATGTTCTCCAGTACGACTGCCGGAGTATCTCTGAGGATGTCTGTGACCTGCTGGACGGTAAACAGGCACTTCTCCCTGAGGAACATCACCACACTTTTTACTGTCTTCACAGGCACAGTGAGGATCTGGGGATAATAGGACACCACTCTCTGGAGGCTGCCTGAAGGGAGGTGTAAGGAGAAATACTGGTTTTATATTCACAGGAAGCATCTCATTAATATTGAGGACTTCGACAATATTTTGATGAACTATACTGCACGGTGATCACAATCTCACCTTCAGCTAAACCCAGTTTCCGCATGTTGACTATGCGCTGCTGAAGCTGCGATTCTTTGACAGTGTACAGCTCGGGACATTTCTCCAGCAGCTTCAGCACAGTGGAGGGACTGAGGCCCAAGACAAACAGAGCTGTGAGAGTTGACAGAGCATGTTTGGCAGCATTTCCTCCTCGGAGTTTGGACACGGCTTCACAGATCTGCTCTGCCTGGGTGTCTGTGAATCCCATATCCAGCAGGGAGTGTAGGGACAGTTCTGCCACTGGCTTACAGGGGAGGTCATGGTTGTGTTGCGTTGGCTGCAGAGTGCTCTGGCTGGTGGGGGAACAGAACAGTCTGCACCCGGTGCACAGAGGACGGAGGTGGCTTCTCCCAAACCGAAGTGGGTTGAAGACAGAGGAGGAGGGATTTCTCACAATCCACCTGAGAGCCTGTAGAAAATAAATGATGGTTATGATACACAAACGGCACTTACGTTATGTCCCCGTTCATAGCGAACAGTCTAAACAGCACAACTGTCATGGCTGTAGAGCAACTGCGAGAAGTTAGCAGAAGATAGACTAATAAACCAGCTGTGCTATCGTTAGCATGTTAGCAAACATGAAGGTTATAGCGGACGCTTACAGGCTGCTGGTCGCTTCTTCGACATTTTTAAGCACGTAGCTCATTAAATTAAATATTCTACAATGTAATAATTGTACTTTAAGTTAAAAAAAATAAACAAACTGTCATATTTGGTAGCATTTTGATTCACCTGACGCGCAGCAACTCGAGTACCCATGCTTGTCCTTCGTACATATACTTCCGTCTTTCAGCCTGAACAGACAGTAGAGGACAAAGGTTCCGCTTACAGGAAACACAGGAAAAACAAAAATTAGACTTTTGAATTTCTCTTTAGACGGACACTAACCATCAAAGAGGAGACGAGACGTTTTATTTTTTAATGTCAACGTGTTTTTAAACATGGAATTGCTCTGTATGCTCCAACAAATGTGTTAATTCATTTTTTTTTAAATTTCTGAGCAAATGGACAAGAATGATCAACTTATTTTTTACATGAATTCATAAGAATATTTAAGTGAAATGCAATCAGTCAGTTCCAGTAATTTGCATAGTCGAAACAGTGTAATAATAATAATAATAATAATAATATATGGTAGGGGTGGGGTGTCTTATGCATAGTCTTCGTTTATGGTTTGAGTTGTAGCGATTGTTTTATTGAGCAGAATATAATTGTGTTTCTTGCTGCTTTCTTTGAAGCTTTAACATATATTAAAAAGCTCAGAAACACAAAATGCTTACCTTGTCTTATCTATGTTTATACAACAATCTGCTCATTTATATGTGAATAAACCTGCACTTTATAGGGTAGAATATTACTGATTAAGCATTTTAACTCAAGTTTACAAACAGTATTTACAGCAAAGTTTTCCCCAAATTTCAGACAAATTAATCAACTTTAAGAGTTTCATTCCTCACCAAATAAAGCACATGTGGTTATAGCTTTCACTACTCTCCTGGCAAAACGTTTCATCATTCTAAATTGGAAGCACCTTGCTCCCCCATCCTTTTCTCATCAGGTCAAGGATGTTATGTATTTCTTAAAGTTAGAAAAAAAAATCAACACTCAAAGGTTCCTCTCAAACCTTTATTAAGATACTGAGTCCCTTTTTTGGACTTAACTGATTTGCTACTAGAACCCCTTGATAAAGAGGTACCTATAAATGTTGCATGACAGCAGTCTCTTTCTACATTTGTATGAGGGATTAATACCATTATTTGGTGAAGTTCCGGTAACGTCCCTCCTTTACCTGAATGTATCTTGTAACCTGTGATGCCATGGATGGGTGGGCAGGGTGGTAGGGATGAAATCAGAGAAGGAATGGTTGAACTGATGTCAAATACACATTTTGTATCTTAGCTGTGGGATAAAAACTTTGAAAATCAATAAAACGAATTTACAAAAAGAAAAAAAAAGAAGTGTTTAGTGTCAGAAATCTGCAGGTGGAATCATTCAGGCCAAACAGCAGCTGCCTCATTGCCTCACCATGTTAGAAACAGCAATGTGAAACTTTTTTATTGTACTGCCATTTAATGATTTACCATGTTTACTGCCTGCATTAAGAATACAAAATTTAAATACATTTACAATGTTTGCATGACAAACAATAAACTGTCTACAGTTCTGATCAACAGGCTATTCCTTGATCGTATAAAAAGCAACATTTGTAGTAAAATATTTATTAATCTATGAGAATAAATAGATAAAATATTGTAAATATACTTACAATGTTTAATTAAAAGACACAAGATTAAAATCATGAACATAAAATTGACATTTGTTTAACAGAAGCTGGATAATTAAAACTATTTCCTTCTATCAAACTAAGATCTTGGTTGTGAGGCTGTGGTCACTTGTGGATTTTGGTGGCAAAGCTGTATCACTGTGAGCCATCGCTATGATTTTAAGGCGTGAAAGAATAAATACAATAAGATTACATAAAAGGAAAAAGAAATGCTACATCATCATATTTAAAATCTCCAGTTTTGCTTTCTGAAATCACAAAAATGTCGAACAAGCACATTTTGACTGACAGCAGCTTGATAATGGTGTTCATCCCACCTGGTATCAAACTGTTCATACTTCATAAAAGCAAAAGGTCCATCTGTCTCTGAAGGACGAACACCTACACAGTAGTGTTTGATTGGACGGAGAAAATCTTCCCTTTTCTTGGGCTCCACCTCCTTTAAATTCAGCTTTTATTCCTCATGGAGATACTTCTGAAGCTCTGTTTCCAGGGCCACCATTGACAACCTGTCCTCCTCATCTTCTTCCTCCTCCTCCTCCTCCTCATCATCATCAGGAAGAGTCTCATCATGTTGATCCGGGAACAAGCTTTGCCTGATGTACACTTGTGGGCTGGACTCCTGGTGCTGTGGTGAGCCTGCTACAAGAAGAGAAGGTCCTGAGTAGATGAGCTGCCACTAACTTTAATTTGCACAGCTGAGACTGCAGATTATACAGATGGTAACTTATGCAGTGCCACTTCTCCACTACATGAAAGTTTAACCATGTGAGTTTTTGAAAGACAGGGACTGGGGGGATTCAAACTAGGCTAGTTAGGGGAATGACTTAGTGTATCTGTCATGCGTTGAATTCATGAAGACAACTGTTTTTCCCACATGCCTCTACAGTGAACAAAGAATCCCAAAACTGAGACAATTCTTATGCAAGTTAAAGTGTTCAATGTTTAACAACAGTAAACTTATATGAAAACATCAGTTTACAATCCCTCACACAACTTGTCTAATCCAAGTTCAATTTATCCCTCCGTATGCTCAGTACGTCCAAAACAGACAGCACTGGTGTTTTAAAGGGTTAGTTTGGACACAGCAAAGTCACCAACATTTCCAGGAACTTTTATTACCAGGAATTTATTTACTTGGGTAAAAGAATTCCTGGTAATCTGTGTGGTTTGCGTTTCCACCTCACCTCCAAGTTCTGGAAAATTTAGCGTGATAACGTAGATGATTTGGCGTGTGTCCTGTATTTGACTCTGCCAGCTTGTTTACTGGTAACATAGTGCTGGTGTAGAGAGTTGGGTCTGTTTGCCTCAGCCAGCAGCTAAGTTTGAAAGTATTTTAAGGTAAGTGTTAAACTAAGTGAGTTTACATGCAGACAGCTGCCATTTGAGCTTATTAGTAACAATTTGTTATCAGCTGAATTAGCGTGCTGTCCTTGTGTAAGACATAACGTTGGTGGATGAGAGACTGTGGACGGGGCATATTGAATACCGCTGTCTACATGTTTACATGTTCATGCTTGCTGAACACATGTATTGATAAAGTATTGGCTTCTTACTCGAAGTACTGAGCATACAACTGGATAAATGAGACTTGGATTATACTGCATGTGTTGTGTGAGAGTTTGTAAACTGATGTTTTGTGATGTTTGCTGTTGTTAAATGTGGACACCTTTTATTTAATTCTGCAAGACTTTTCTCCACGTATCGATCCTTCATTCACCAGAGCTAAGTGGGAAAACATTTTCTTCACAAATTCAACTTAACACAGGGTGAGTAACTGACACATAAGTGGTCATTTGGGAGATGAAGTATTCCTTTAAAGGTACTCACAGTTGCTCTGAGTTGCAGGGACCACCTCTGTCCAGCTGTACTCTGCCAGGGAAATGGGCTGGCTGATCCAGGACTGCAGCAGCAGCTGGTCCAGAGTCATTCTCTGGGCTGGATCAGGGTGCAGCAGCCCACGTAAGACACCATGCAGATCTGAGAGTGTACATGGTGAAATGTCAACACTGAGTTGGAAAATATGTTTTTGGAAACTGTGAAAGTGAATCAGTGAAAGTTATTTGCAGTCACCAGTAGAATACCTGGAGTGAGGGGGAATGGAGGCTTCAGTCTGGCATCCAGGATCTCCTCAACACCACAGAAGGGGTTCTCACTAAACAGCAGAGTGTAGAGCAACACACCAAGAGACCACATCTCCAGCTCTGGACCCTCATAGCTACAACAGAACCCAACAAAGAGACAAACTATAATTACAACAGGCTAATTTGGCAACAACATGGCAGCACATTATTTATCAGTTAATTTAGTGCCTGTGTACGGCTGCAGAACTTTACGATCAGTATATCCTTGACGCTACATATAGTTTAACTATACATCGTAAAGGTTAATGGGTCATAAAAGTGATACAGGATGGAAAACAGTGCTCTGACCTAGATTTAGCTTTAATGCTTTGAGTGAGCTGAGTAATCAGGACAGTCATTCCCCCTTTAAAATAAACCTTCTATAAAAACAAGACCAATATGAAATTTCCTATTTGCTAAGTGAAAAGGAACAAATACCAGTTGTCGTTCTCAGGTATTATGTACATACGGATTTCCCTGAAGCACCTCTGGGGAGCAGTACTCCAGCGTGCCACAGAAATTGTAAAAGAGCTTCCTGGGAGCCATCATGGCAGCAGAGCCGAAGTCTATCAGGCGAATGTGGAAACACTTGTCGATGATGATGTTCTCATCTTTTATGTCCCTGTGAAGGATGTTCTTAGTCCTCAGATAGAAGACAGCGGCGACCAGCTGGGAAGAGACGGAACCTCCAGTTTAGACAAGAATAAATACACACTTCACATTTCAGAGCCTGTTTTCTTGTCTTATGTGCATACCTGTCTGAAGATGTAGCTGGCCAGGGGCTCATCCAGCCTCGGCTGCATGTCTATGAACTCAAAAAGGTCCAAACCATCTCCATGTTTCTCCATCACCATCTGGAAGTAGGTCCCATTCTCAAACACCTCCAGCACCTAGTGGCACATATATATACATGATGAGCAAAATAATTTAACATAATATAATGAAAGAAAGTTTTTACAACCTTGTGTCTTAAAAGGGACAGTTCACCCCTGTTTTAAAAAACAAATATTTTTCCTCTTACCTGTAGTGCTGTTTATCAGTCTTGATTGTTTTGGTATGAGTTGCTGAGTGTTGGAGATGGCTGTAGAATATAATGGAACTAGATGGCACTCAGCTTGTGATGCTAAAAGCACCAAAAACAAAATATGTTTAATAAACTCAACACCGTCTCTTTCCAGAAATCACGACCCAGCTACCCAAGATAATCCACAGACCTTGTTGTGAGTAGTTTCATGTAGGAACTATTTTCTTTGTACTGAACTACACCCGTCAACTGTATAGCTAGCTAACGTTACAGGTCAGAGGAGAACGCCAAACCATTTTTCCTAGAATGGTGAAGACATGACCCACCCAACTCTCCCTGACTGGCTGGTTCTTGCTGCCTTGGTTGATGGCTTCGTCAGGTATAGCTATGGAGTGTGTTTGCTTAGGGTAAAGGCCTTTGCACGCTGAGTCAGTTTTTTAAATCTGTCATCCAAAAAAAAATGGTTAGGCACAGAAACCTTGCACACTGATTCTGATGCATTTTATTGTTGTATTTGTTGTGAAAATTCACAATACATGACAAAATTAAGACACATTTCCTCCTTTGCTTTTCTCCACTGGAGTTACATATCTGGCTGTCATCACTCCCTCCCTGTCTTTCATTTGTCCCTCCCTCTATGTCTCCCACATTCTCTGTGCAGTCCACATCCTCCTCCTTGTCATCATCACCCCCTGAATTTTACTATCTGACCCATTGAAAGTGAGCTGTCTGAGTTATGAAATTATTCTGTGCCCCTGTTTCTCTGTCTTTTTTTTCCACTGACTCTTGGTCAAACGTCTCTGAAGGATCTGATTGATGTGAAAAACAGAAAATCGAACTTGTTCCGAAAATTTTAATGATGGACGAAAGTTTCAGACTCAGTGTGCAAAGGCCTTTAGAATGTCAGGGTCAGCCAGTTAGAGGCAGAGTATGGCGGGTGAAACCTTCGCCATTCAAGGAAAAAAAGGGTGAGGAGGGGGCCGGCCATTTATGTTTACAGCTTGCTCTGTCACAAGCACAAGCCTCCTGTCCATGAGGAGGTGCGCACTTCCTTCTGCACGGTGATACAGTTGACAGGTGTAGTTTGGTAGAAAGAAAATAGTTCCTACATGAGTTTTTCAAATTGATGTTTTTGGTGCTTTGAGCACCACAAGCCGAGTGACATCTAGTTCCATTATATTCAAGAGAAGGCAGACATCTCTACAGCTGATCTCTCCAACACTTGGCAACTCACACCAAAACAATCTAGATTGATAACAGCACTACAGGTAAGAGGAAAAATATGGTATTGACAACCCAGTTACCTTGACTATGTTGTGGTGCTGTACTCGTGTCAGTATGGCAATCTCCTGGCTGACCCGTCCCAGCATGGGATCATCTACCCAGCAGTCGCTCACTATCCTGGACTTGTTAATGAACTTCACGATCACCTGCAAATTTAAAAAAAAACAAACAGTTAAAGAGGTCACATAGTCGCAACAATCTTATCAAACTGCTACATGTTGTATGAACATGAATAAGACATGTTTCTAGATTAATGAAAATGTTTCTTACTTCTACTCCATCACAGCGCCGTATCGCCTTCCAGACAAAACCAAAGGCTCCTTTACCCACAGCTTTAACAGGCTGGTACTCTTCATCAAACTGCCCGTCACAGGCTCGAGACTGCTCCAAGTCCATGGTGGAGCGTAATGCCTCCCCATGACTGGCCTCACTAATCCTCTGAAGGAGGACAGCAATTAAGAATAATGAGTTGAGCACAGATCACTTTTCATACTTTGATAAATAAATACAGTGTGTCATCCTAACTCATCTGTATTGCCACTGACCTCTCCTAGACTGACTCCTGATTGGTTTTGAAGTGATCGATCTGTTTGCAACAGTGACCCCTGCTGGCCAGGCCTACTCATCCACACACAGATCATGGAGCTTCCATCAGGGAGGGTAGTCCTGCACACATCGCACCGCACATCTGGAGAGACAATAAGGAACTGGTTAACGTCTTTTTGCTTTATGTAACACAATACGTAGATGAGGGGGAAACAGATTAACAGTTGTAGTCGTACTAACCTACTCTCGTGCCATCTCTGTGGTATGCACTTCCTTCATATCGCCCCTCCTGTATCTGTGTAGTGTCTGAGGACAGGTTGTACCCATTCACCTTCTGTTTCTTTGGTGTAGATGTGGCAGGAGTGTCCGTCACTGACTGAATCCCACCGTTCATTTGCACGCAGAACTCTTCGCTCTTTTCTTTGTGGATTGAAGAGAGAGCTGCCCACTGATCCTGTTCTCCCTGATCATTTTCTACTTGCTCTTCACTTGAGCCGTTTCTGACCTGTAGACCAACAGGCTCTGCTTCCTGGTCAGACTCCACCAAGTACGGGGAGGGTGTGCGCAGGAGCTCGGCTGTGCTGCAGGACGTCATGGAGTGCTGGTTATCATCCTCGTGTCCTCTGCCGCTGAGAAGCTCTACACTACCACTCAGATCTAGTTCGGCCAGCGCCCGGGTCACCAGATCGCCATTGCTGTTAAGGTCCAGAAAACAGCTGGCTGAGTCCAATATGTGTGCTGAGGGGGAGTCTACTGCCTGGCCTGGGTCAAAACCACCATGGCCGGCAAATTTTTCACAGAAGCCAGAGGAAGATCTGTGAAATTGAGTTATAATCAACCAATGATTAGAAATGAGTAAACAGTAAAGAAATCCAGACGGTATCATTTTATCAAAAAGACGTAATAAAAACACAATAATTTCTGAAGAACGCAGCTTTCTTTCCAGTCTAACCATGACTGACTGCTGAAGATTTTTATTTCAGTGGTTACTTGCTTATAATTGATGCCAACTGACCAGTTAAAAGTTATTCAGTTTAAATAGATGCTATGGAATTTTCCCCCAGATTTAAATTTTTCAATGTAAAATATCTTTCAGCTTTGATTACTGACATAACAGATGAACTGTCTTAAAAATTAGATATCAGACTGGGTGATTTTTGACATTTAATTGGGTGACATTCAATTCTCCACATTTTCAGCACGAAATACAAGTGGCTTTAAACTTGCCCTCTTGTATCTAGAGACGTGAGCTTTTAGTCACACACTTAAGATTTTAATATTAACAAAATGTCCGACAAATATTGTTAAAATGTTTGATATGTTATTTAATAAAATGTCCGACAAATATTGTTAAAATGTTTGAAATGTTATTTAATAAAATGTCTGACAAATATTTATAAAATGTCCAAAAAATTACTAATAAAAATATTGAAAAAATGTGATTAAAAGCTCACATCTCTCGATGCGAGAGGGTGTCCGACTTTGGTCTTTTAAAAGTCTTCTCAAAGTCTTCTAGTACACAAGTTTAAAGCCAATTGTGTATTCTCATGCTGAAAATGTAGAGAATTAAATGCTTCTTTAGACAAAGAAGTGAAATCTCTATCCTCACCTGCTCTCCAGTGAGATGACCTCAAAGCTGGAGTCTTGGAGCACAGCGGCACATGAGCGATGATTGTTGCCTGTATCAGGAGAAGTACCAAGCAACCTACCACCAGTTTGTCCATTCAGAGTGGGAGTGTCTACAGAGGTGAAAAACAAAAACACTCAATACAGTTTCTCAAAGACTGCTCTTTTAATGCTTTCTAAAATCTAATACAATATAAAATCTTTACATAGCATGTTGTGCAGAATGGTCTGTTAAATCTTCATCTGAGGTAAAAGTTTCAGTACCCATTCCAATATGAGCTGCAGTTTAGTCTCAGGGTTGAAAGGATGAACTACAGATAAATAACTATAAACAGAACACTAAAGCTTCAACAGTTTAGCTGCATCCTACCTGGGATAATCTTGATGTCAGATTGATTATTTTCCTGAACTCTACTGCCGAGCTGCTGTTCTTGGTTACACTGTGGTGGTTCGGTGGAAACCAGGCAGTAGGTCTCTTCTTCTGGAGGTTCCACCCAGGCAAATGTCTTGAGGAGCGCCTGAGTGCTATCAACGCAGTCTAGCTGGGTAACGCAGAGACCAACCTGGGCTGCCTGCTCCATCAGCTCTGTAGTGTCATCAGCCCTAGACACAAGAAAGGCTGGATTTTAATCCAAGTACTGTTATGCTAACCAGCATCTAAAAGAATGTAATAATAATACTATAAAATCAAAATACGAGTAAAGAAATCTGACACTAGATATTTTGTGAATCTTTTTTGGGATCAGACGTGCACATACAGAATCAGTGTTTAAACCTCTGGCAGATGTTGCTTATAATCACAATCACCATCAGCTTCATGGGCCAAGTATGTGTGTACATACAAGAAATTTGACTCCAAACAAAGCTGGACAAAGTAAACACAAACACTAGAATACTGTAAACATTTGACTACTTCGCACGGATATTAGAGAAACAACAAAAACACAATGAAGTGTGTAAAACAGCACAAAATGGTACTGGAATAAATACAGAATGATAGATGTAACAGGTTGCTTTATACGCGAGGTAGATGGAGTACACAGCATGCTGGGGTTATTTCTGAAAGATATTGACATGTTTACAGTTTGTATTTAAACTACAAAAACATCATTTTATGTAATATATAACCAGTATAGATTTCTGACTCTCAAGACTCGCTCAAGATTTCTTTCTCCTTATCTTAGTTATTGTAAATGTCACATTTAATCACTTCCTCATTAAAATTCATTGAATATAGGACTTTTGGCAAGTGTAACTGTAAAGGAGCCAATACGAAGCTGCGGGAGGTTTTTTAGGCTGACAGTGTTTTCCCAAGGCACTCAAGTCGATTTGTGTTCTTGTCTGTTTAGCTGCAATAAAAGCTCAAGGCTATTAAAACTTTGTAGTTTAGTCAATATTATGATAGAGAAGGTTATAAACCAATGATTAATGTATGTGCTACATAACTGTTTGAGGACCTTAATTATGTACAAGTCACTGGAATGCAAGGGCAATTTTATGAACACTGTGGGACATTAATTAATCTTGGTAGTGACGTAAATGAGTGCTTAAAAAACATGTATAACACAACAGCAATACCAGAGTAATATGTCTGTCACAACTCTTGGTGCCTCTCAAACCTCTCCCTGACTAAAACCTGAGTAAATCCCTTGATACTGCTGATGAAGATATCTTTTTGACCAAGCATGCTGTGACATTATTTGTCCAACAGATGGCAAAAGAGCAGAGCATAAATATACTGTAAATCCAAATGTGAATCTTCATCTTCCAGCAGCACACTCAGTTTAATTTGATCTGCTTCTATTGTTTGCTTGAACTGAACCAACATTAGTGGAACCATTATGATTCCCAGTTGCATCGTCTAAACAATTACGATCCATAATAAAGGTTTAAGAATGAGCAGGAAAAACATACAAAGACAAACAGTGCTAAGCTGCAACTTAAAGAGTGTTTTAGTGTCTCTGCTGGCTGGTTATATACACAGAGAGGCCATCAGGCTCGACCACACAGTTGTTGTGTTTTCGTTCTTCCAGGCACATTAAATATACATGCAGTCTGCTGCTTTTAGGTCCCAGGATACTGCAGCTTTTGTCCGGTCCATCACTTAAGAAAAATGCAAAGATCTGGTCCACTATTCATGCTTATGTCTGCTGGTGTGTTATTTTCTGTGCAGGTTTCACAAGGTCATATTCAAGAAGTTTATAATCCTTTGGTAATATGAAGTCATTGAGCTCTGGAGTAAAACACGTTCCGATGGCTCCAGACAACAAGGACATGCACACTTACATAACTACTCTTGTGGAGGTCACAGCAGGGGGAGACAGGGTAGACAAAGCGCTGCCCTGTTTGTCCAGCCTGGTGCTAGTTCCAGTGAAGATCCTGCCTCGGCCTGTGGAGGTTCTTCCCAGGACAGCCTGATGCACCATGGCCATATCGCCTGCCACCACTGAGGAAGGGTCTAAGGAGTGGGAGCCAAAGGGAAAAGATTAAGTCACACAGTGAGGACAAATAGTGCTGTTTGACAAGACAAAATAAAAACTGACACTGTGCTACCTCACCCCACAGTTCAAAAACCTCTAGTTAGGGTTGGGTATCAAACTCAGAACTTTTAAGGGTACAGACCAAATTCCGTCAGTACTACTGAGTACTGATTCAGGTTAAATCATCGGTGCCAAATATCACTACCTGAGAGTGCTTTTGCGTGACAATGCCAGGTTTAGACAAGACGTGGAAGTGCCACAAGGTGCCCCGAAGCCTGGAACCCAGCCACTGAGCTCTGAGGCTGCCAACAGAGCTCTGCGGAGCTGCCAGGATCAACTTCAGATAGGCTGCGGAAGTGTCCCAAAGCCAGGAAGCCTGCTACAGAGCTTCGTGGCGTCTCCGTCAGCTCTCCAGTGAGCCAAAACTATCGATGTAGTGCCAATCTGCTGCAATAGTTTTGGCGTCTAGTCTATTTTCTTTTCTATATTATTTCAGTAATAGTCTAGCACAGTTCCCAACTGGTCCAGCTATGGGGTCCAGATTTCTCCTTAGTGATTCATGCAAGGTCCACACAGTTGAATACATTAAGTGTCACACTTGCATGTGGACATGATGTCGTCGAGCTAGTTTGCTGTCTCTGTCAAGTAGCTGTCCATTAGTCACTCATTTCACAGCAGAAAACAGCACTTCAAAATACTGTAAATTCACTGTACTTCAAAATAATGTGTGTTTTTTTTTTTAAACTTGACACAATCACAAGTCACTTGTAGTCCATTCAAAATGGACCCGCGATCCACTTTTAGAACGCGACCCACTAGTTGAGAACCACTGGTCCAGCAGACACACAAACACACAAAAAAGCACCGTTTGTTTCCGGTACAGAATTTCAGGCACCAACGTCGGATGTGAACGGTATCAAACCCTACCATTGGTCTAGACTAATCACTGCAAGTGAGTTGTGGAAAAAGGTGCCATTTTGTACACATCACAAATACTCACCATACTTCCCTGATACTTTGGATGAGGCTGTACTTTTATTAGCCTCTGCTGGAGAATCACAGAAGGGGCCAGCCTTTCCGTCTGAGTCACACATCCATCCATAAAAACCAGGGATCAGAAAAGTGACACTCTGTTGATGACAAAGCGGCAGAGACAGAAGTGTGAGTTGGCACGGTCGTCAATCCAAATGGCTGCGTTCAGCTGGTCGTGTTGGCTAACCTTTCTCAGCAGCTCGTCCTTGTCGTAGCCAAACAGACTGAGAGCCAGGTGGTTGTGGATGCTGTAGATTGAGCCGTCAGGGTGGAGCAGCAGGAGACCACTCAGAGGAGCAAACGCCCAAACTGTTCCCGAGTACTCAAGAGCAGGGCTGGGGGAGAGGACAACGCTGTCCACCTTCACTTCTGTATGAGTCAAGACAGACGTTGAAGATTCACAGTTAGTTACTAGATTACAGTATATGAAAGATAACTTTTTTAGGGCACACAGCTTTACACTGTAGTGGTGTGTTTCATTATCTTGTCTAGCTTCTGTATATTTTTCTTATTATAAGAGGCTGAAGAGTGCAGCCTTTACTGGAGGATGTTTAAAGTGCTTGGGTGGCATAATATTAACACTGGATAATGCACCAGTCTCTCCAGAATAATATTAGGTGTTTTTTAATCCCCCTCTGACCTAGCATTAGGTCTCAGCCTTGTCTTTAAAAAAACAACTTAACACCTTACCGGAGGACAGTTCTTCAGAGTTTAAGCCTTCTGACTTGCACACAGAGAAGGTGAGCCGAGAGCACGGCTGATTGTCCTGTCCATCTGGTCTTTCACAACTGTCTGCTGGGCAGGTGTAACTGGTCTCATTGTTTTGGTGTTGGGGCCTCCCACACACCACTGCCCCCTGAAGTTTGACACACAGGGGGACTGATGCACCCCCTCTGCTCTTACCACACACTCTCTGAACCCTCAGCATCTGAAAGAAGGAGGGAAAGTCAAAGATGACGGACTTACAGAAACACCTGGACTTAAAACGATGCAGGATATCATTTGTTTCCTCTCTCTGTTTCTGAACTGTCTATGAAGCACATTTGTAAACATAAACTAAAAAACAAAGCTTATGAGAGGGAGCTTTCCTAAGCTGAGTGGGACAGTTTTGGCTCTAAAGTGTGCTTACTTTTGGCAACGCATTACTGTGCAGGGGGATTTGTAAAGAGGGGATTAGCTCCTTCACAGACAGCCCTTTTAACTCGTCAGGATGGTGGTATCCATGAAGATGGGCAAACGACAAGTCACAGGTTAGGATGCTGCCCTAGAAATGACATCAAAAGTGGGAAAAAGAATTGCTTTAGTGGGATGGAAAATGGTAATGTTTACCCAGTAGCATGTAATTGAGGATAGGAAAGAATACGGTAATACCATTGCGATGTGAAAACATTTTTAGAGAGGAAAGCTGGGCGACTTATATTGCAAACAAAAAAAATCACACTGCTGAGGTTGCTAAATAATGAAGTACTTACATCTTGTGAAAAGGTCAGAAAGGCTGATACCCTTTCCACATTTTCCATCATGACACGCCAGTGCTCTTCATTCTGTGACTGTCTGTGCGTACACACTGACACCGGCAGCTCTCCAGATAACGTCACAACATCCACCTACAGAAAAAGTGGCATGCTTAACAAACATAACACACTCTTAAATATACACAGACACATGTTTACAACATTTGTGGGTTTTTGCGAAAACTTTAAAAGAATTCAAGGTATTCAAAGCAAAGCATTTTTTGGTCGTCATATTTCATACCACTTTTCCAGACACTGCCGCAACAGTTCCATCCTCTAGCAGAAAATCTTCTTCCATCGCCTCTTCCAGGACCTGACTGGTTTTCTTCAACATGCAGGACAGCTTTTTTCCGATCAGTTCTTTGGTGGTGCACTCAAACAGTTTGCAGGCCTGTTCATTTGCTGACAGAATCTGAAAAATAGAGATAAAACACATTTACAGTGTGTGCTCTAATTGTAGTACTGTTTCAGCAAATCTGCCCAGCCACCGCGGCTCATATTAAATGCACACACAATACCTCTCTGGTTTTATGGTCGATAGTAAGAATAACTTTGTTTGGGTTGAAGGCAGATGGAGATATCGGGAGGCCAAAATCTCCGGAGATCAGCTGACTGAACAAGCTTTCTTCCGTCTCTGACATGGTGAATGGGTGTGGCAGAGAGACGGCAGAAACTTGGGAGCCAGGATGTAAGCAAGAGATCTGAAGGTTTCTCTCTGCGACAGAAGTGCAAACATCCAAACTTTTGCCTGTAAACAAAAAATTCAGAAACAGATTTAAAAAAATCCTCTTACCATCAACCTCACAATTAGGGCTGCAACTAACAATTATTTTTTTCACCAATCAGTCAAAACATTAAAACCACTGACAGGTGAAGTGAACATTGATAATCTTGTTGCAATGCAATGTTCTGCTGGGAGACTTTAGGTCCTGGCATTCATGTGGATGACACTTGACACACTCAGACACTACAAACCAAGTACACTCCTCATGGCAACGACACTCCCTGCAGCAGGACAATGCTCCATGCCACAGTGCAAAAACTGCTCAGAAATGGTCCAAGGAATTTGACAGAGAACTTGAGGCATCAACCTGATCCCCAGATCCCAATCTCGTTGAGCATCTCTGGGAGGTGTCGGTATCCTACCTTGCAACCTACAGAACTCAAAGGACTGGGGAGTGCCATTGCCATGAGGAGGGGAGGGGTACTTGGTCTTAAGCAGTGTTTGGGAGGGTGGTGCGTGTGAAATGGCGTCCACATGAATACCAGGACCAAATGTTTCCCAGCAGAACATTGCATTGTAACACTCTGATCGATGTTATTTATTTCACCTGTAAGTGGTTTTAATGTTTTGGCTCCTGTATGGCCCAAGGTTACCTCTTTAAAGAGCTTGTTTTGTCTTAAAGCCATTAACATCAAAACTTGATTTGTTTAAAAGATTATCAGTTATCAAAACTGTTGTGGATTAGCCACCAAGTTCTGAAAGCCTACACAGATGCTGGGAGAGGGATATCGGGGAAGAGATAACTAGTGGAATATGGGGGAAAATTATTGGCTTGCGGTTCAAGTATCAAGAGAAATGCAGACACACCTGGTTAATTATAAAATTATCAATGGGATTTATTGGACCTCAAGTAAAATGGCACAATTGATGTGACACCACTTGTGGCACCCTCTTACATATCTTGTACTCATGCCCCACGATAGCTCTTCTGTGGTCTAAGATTATTGTCTTCATCAATACAGTGATGTCCTCTACACTCGTACAGACACCAGTGCTTTGTCTGTTAGGTGTGATGCTGAAAGGAAGTGGGCGTAACACTCTGTAAATCTCATGGTGCAGGATAGCACTAGGATAGTGCTGCGACACTGGAAAACTTATGGAGATATATCAGTGAAGGAGTGGTTCAACGAAATTGCTAAAATCTCCTCCTATGAAAGACTGTGTTAGAAGCTAATAGATAGGCAAGACATCTATATGAAAATATGGGGCCCTTATACGACTGTAACCTAACGTACTGATGAGCAACACCCTTTCTTATAATGTGAGGTGTTAACTAGTGTACATAATATGATGTACAATTTGATATTGTACCATTTAGAATGAGTATCATGTACATATATATTTTTGTATATACACACGCATCCACATATTTATGTATACACCGATCAGCCAAAACATTAAAACCACTGGCGGGTGAAGTGAATAACATTGATCATCTTGTTACAGTGGAATGTTCTGCTGGGAAACCTTGGGTCCTGGCATTCATGTGGATGTTACTTGACACACTCCACCCACCCAAACACAGTGGCAGACAAAATAAACCCTTTCAAGTCAACACTTGTCGATGGAAGTGGTCCCCCAGCAAAACAATGCACCATACCACATCACAAAAACTGCTCAGGCATGACCCGAGGACTGTGACAGAAAGCTCAAGGCATCGACCTGGCCTCCAAACACCCCAGATCACCATCTGATTGGGACCCGATCCATGGCGGGTCCTCCTTGGACTGGACTTGGCTCTGACCTGTTAAGGCATGGACAGAGGACCTCTTGAGGGTGTCCTTTGGTGGCTGGCATCAGGGCATTACCATCAGATCTTTTGAGTCCTGTGGGTTGTGAGGTGGGGTAACAGCACGTCCTATAAATGTTCGATCAGATCAGGATCCAGGGAATATGGCAAACAGGTTAACGCCTTGAGCTCTTTGCCCTGTTCCTCAGGTAATTCCTGAGCAGTGTTTGTGGCGGGGTGTGGCACACTGTCCTGCTAGGGGCCCGTGCTACTGAGGAGTGCTGTTGCCATGAGGGGTAGTATATGGTCTGCACTGGTGTTTAGGCAGGGGGAGCGTGTCAGGTGGCAACCACATGAAGATGTTTTTTTTTTTATTGTTGTTGTTGTTGTTTGTATGGAAAATCAATAAAAAATGCAAAATTGCAAAAGAAAAACAAATGTTGAGGATTAATTTGGTGGTTACTAATTTCAGCTTTAATCACAATTTCAACCACACCAGTGCCACTCACCTCTCCAGGCACCAGGGTAACGACGCTGCTGCAGTGCAAACAGGTTCCTCTTGTACATCGGTCTCTGGGTACACGGGTAGGACTTATTCAGGTCAAAGTCATCCTCCAGGAAGTCACAGGAGAGGTCGGGCACCGCACAAATAGTGTCCCCTTTACCTCTGCTGCTTTGGCTCAGCCCAAAACGAGTCGACAGCGACATTGCTGTTGGTTATCCAGCTGAGACTGACCCATACAGAGGTAGTTAATGGATTGTAGCAATGTAACAGGTTAGCTAACAGAGAAAACGTTTTATTGATAACATGTGAGTTGTTTATTAGCATCTCATATGAAGATTAAATCCGAAACAACACTCACCCCAGGTTGTAGACAGAAACCGTGTGGCTTACGAGGGCACAGCAGTCTCAGTTGACGCCTGTTGACAAGGTAACGTTACCTCCCCTGCGCTATCTAGCTAACTAGCCATCTGCTAACGTTACTCCCACTACAAACAAAACGATACCGTGGTGTGTTTGCTTCCTAAATTGCCGGGTGCCGCTTCTTTGTCAACGACTTTAATCCGAGTTGACGTTGCCGTAGGGTTATGGCAACTTTAAAACCATTCCAGCGGGTTAGTTATGGGGAAAAGACGATTTAATTGCTAGTTTCACTTAGCGGTAGTTTTTGTAAACCGCGGGCTTCGAGCGCTAGCCGAGTAGATTCAAGGAAGTCCCCCGGAGCCAATCAGATATCACGCCTCTGAACAAGCGCAGCTGATTGGACGATTCACCGGAAATGCCAGCCTTTGTTCCCATGGAGACAGTGTCACCACAAAAGCAACCAAAAACTAGAGCCATAAAACTCAGGGCTCTGCCAGGAGCATACTTTCCACAAGTCAAATAAATAAGTCAAGTAAATAATTCACACATTATTTTATTATAAAACAGGAAGACACAGACAAACCCCAGCAGCAAACAGCAGTAACTACAGCAGAGTGTTTCAAGTCACAGGTTTTTTCTTTTTACTGCGGTTTACAATGTAACTCAGCAAACAGTTAGTCTACTCTAGCTTTGTTATTTCACTTTGTAAGGGGCGAAAAATTAGAAGGCATCCATTTAATTAATAGAAAATTACTATATATCCTCTAAAACATATCACATGAGAATTAGAAGCTCTTTATTTGTATGTACAAATCTGATGAGGGACACCAAAATACATGTTTGAACAGACAGAACATAACAAACATCATCCCATTATGTAAATATGGCATCTGAGAGAAGTTGGGTAAGAGTACCAGGTGCAATGACTGCAGGGTTCCACATGGGTTTTTTATACTGAGTCTCTTAATAGCTACATGGCTTTGTTGAATTCACAAGCTCCCCCCTCGGGAGCATCTTCTCCCCAACTTCAACTAGACGAAAGTTTTAACCACAACACAGACTGAAAGGAAATGAATCAGACATTATCATTACTGACAGAAAGTCTGGCATAGTCCAAATTAAAACGGGCTGAAGGGGCACATTAGGGAAGTACGCTATGCTGTACTTTTGCATAAGTGAAAAAAAAAATACAACACAGGGATATGAAAAGCTTATTCTGACATAGCTGCTTAATAAGGAAAATATATATATATATAACAGTCAGAACAGATGTTTTGAAACATATTTTAGTTTATCTTAGCTCTCTTGGTATCAGCAACATTGTGAGCATCTTCCAGTACTGAAATAATTCATCACGTTGACGGGGCAGCTCCAGCTGCACTGGGAGGAGTGAGCATATTATCCAGTCTGCAGAGAACAGGCCTGATTACACACCTCATCACTGATTTTTTCTTTACAGCACAAACATCTATATGATTCCTCTAACATTAGGTACATTTTCATACACCTGATCTTTTTTCATGTATTTACTGCCATTAGCTTATGTCACACCTAAGTTTTCTTTTCTTGATGCAAAACACCCTTATTCAGAAAATCATGATTGTTTGTAACTGGCACATGCTTGTCATCAATCAGCTTCATCGTGCAGTGATCTATTTCTCCATGATCTAATGTTATGCTTCTTTAGATTTGTGGTTAGGCAACATGTCAGAGCGCTCCAGAAATCATCTCACTGGAACTGTTGTTCAGTCCAGTAGCCAGCTGCTATAGCTTTAGCATGCATGTTTTGTCAAGTAGCTCACTTTACAATAATGAGTACTGGTTGATCATCATACGGACAAGGAGCCAAGCTGAACACTTTACGCAGTCACACATACAGTCATACGCGCACACAAGCAAAGTTGGGCACACACTCGGGTGCCATGGCTGTGAGAAGTGAGCTTTGATAGGCTTTTTTGAGCATAGTTTCCTAAAACAGGGTCCATCCTAATGGTGGTAGTCCCTTTTACTGTGAGGACGATTTCCCAGTATATGATCCACTTCTGAGGCAATGCCTGCTGTCATCTTTGGAATTACCTGAGATGTGCAAAACAAAGAAAGAACATACTATCAGTGCTGTTGGACTGGACCGCTTGCTCAAGCTTAGGAAACAGACTTTATACCTGAATGGCTCCCAGGTTCTCTGTAAGCTGGCTTGCATTGGAGGATCCCAGCAGCACTGAGCTCACTCCCTCGTTCCTCAGGCACCAGGCTGAAGATCAGAGGAGTTTTTACAGTTGTTATTATGGTGTCAATATATCACACAGAATGTAGAAAAACACTGAATTTAGTTATGAGCAACATTATTTTTGTTTGATCTCACAACAATGTAGAGTTGGGGTTCTTAGGGGTGTTCATGTCGTCCCTCACCTATGGCTAGCTGCGGCAAAGTACAGCTGAGCTTCTCTGCGATATGAGCCAGCTCCTTTAGCTTGGCTTGTTGTTTTCTCCCATCCTCGCTCATTATCTTCTCCCTCAACCACTGGTATGGCTAAAGGAGCAGTAAAAGAAGAAGCATTAAAATAATTACTCATAATCAGGAAGAAATAATTTGAACCAGATAATGTTTAATTGTTTGATGAGAGGAAAAAAATTGGAATATATGATAGACTGTGATAAAATAATGGATGTAGCCACTGTGATGTCACCAATTGGACTGTTGACTCCAGTTTTAAAGCCTCAAGTCAGGCATTTTGGCCGTCACCATCTTGGCTTTTGGAACCACAAGTGAATCAAGGTGATCATATTTGGTCAAATTAACTGTGCGTTCCAATAACTATACTACCTTACTATCAGGAATGATAGAAAAAGATTAAAGGCGCTGTATGTAAGAATGTGGCTAAAACAGTTACTGCACTCAAATTCAAAATACTGCCGCGAGTCATGTCCGCCCCCCCTCCCCTACAGATTTGAGGTTGCTGGACAGCGGCATGCTGGAGACTGATTTTTGCCCACGGGCGGCTGCCGTGGCAGGGCCGCGTCGCCGCGTCCTTGATCTTCGGTTTTCCAGCAGACCGTTCGAGCAAGTCCGGCTTCTCTGCTGCTAACACTGCTGCCGGGATACAGCTGAGGAGGAACCGGCTGCTCATGCTGGGACACTGCTAATGCTGCTTGCCGTGCTGCTGTAGCTCAGTCGTAACTGTAACTGATGCTGAGACTCTACTGACTGCGTGACTGGTAGACGGCGGTGGGTGGCGCAACAGGCCAAAACACAAATTCAAAACATAAACATGATTTGCGGACCGTAAAATATTTTTTTAAATGCGAATATTCTGGCCGTACTATTGTTGTCGGTGAGATCAGTATGTTATATGAACATTATTCCTTAGTCTCTGTGACATATTAGGAGGATTTTATGACTATTTGCTTTAGATTTCTTACATATAGCTCCTTTAAGTATTGCCAAATACAAAGTATATAAAATGCAGTATGCCAAAAAAACTTCTACTACACCCAGTCATATTTTTGCAGTATGCTAGCCAGCCTGCTTTTCTGGCTATTCTGACCCACAATCCTCTGCCCAGCGGTCAATACGTCTCATTGACGGACAGATAGCAGCTTGACAGCTCGTTAAAAGCTGATTGACAGCTCCCAGAAGCCTGGCTGATGGCTGACAGCGAATTCAAATAAGTGAGGACCAGTCGAACAGTAATAATAGGAATATTAATTGTTTAAATTAACAAAATAATCATATAGATTACCAACAACAAAAGGACATAACTATGAAAATAACAATGATAGAAAAATACATATGTAATTTTACTTTGAATTTCCCTTGTAAACTACATACACTGCAAAGTAAAAACAACAGCAGATCTGTCTGGGTTGACCTCCATCTCCGGCGAGCTAGGTGAACAGCATTTTGTTATATCTCCACGGTAACAAATATATGTGCAAGAGAGTCAGAGTTCAGGGTGTAATGTTATGAGACAGTAGTATGTTCTGATTGTGCGCATACTGCGTGCATCAGTACGTACTCTTTAAGGGCAGCTGCGGTATATACTAAAAGTAAAAAGTATGCGATTTGGAATGCACCCTTGATTTGATCATATTTGGACAAATTCAAACAGGTGAGTTATAGAAAACTTCGGCCCTCATAGAGTTGTCATGAATTGGGAAAACTGGCTGGGCCAAAAAAAGTTCATCATTTGCGTGACATGATCGTCACACATTCCTTGAATATATTTATATTCATATTTTGACAATAAATCCCACTTCAAATGTATTTTTGTATGCTTTTTATCACATAGGCCAGCATTACCTGGGACATACATTTCCACAGTTTGCATATAAATGTATATAAAACCTTTTGGTTGCTATTGATACAAATCAAATTGTACACAAATATAATGCTGCAAACATGTTACAATAAAGACAGATATAAGCACGTTAAACTTAATTTTTTTTTTAGACCTTTTTAACACCACTTAAAATGAAATTTAAGACCAAACTTGCGACGGAAATACACACCAAAGTGAAAATATATTCAGTACATTAGTACATTGAGGAGGTAAAAATAGGGGCTTTGCACACATGCAGGTGTTGTGTTGAAGTCTGGTACCCTGTCGAATGCCGTCATGTTTCCCTTCTGTTAAAATTATCTTTCCTATAGCACCAACGCTAAAAAATAGATCGGTGATGTGACTAAAAAACATTTCAGACCCATTCAATCTGAATTTAAGACAATCTAATACTTTTTAAGGGGGTCTGTGGGAACTGACTCGCTTTTGGAGCCAGTCTCAAGTGGCCATTTGAGGAACTGCTGCTATTGGCACTTGGGTGTTGGCTTAATTTTTTTTAGCCCCGGAGGCTGCCTGTTGCCAGCTCACCCTTTTCCCCTTTAAGGGTGGTGGCCTTGTGGGTAACCTGTGAGTGTGTGATGTGTGCTTCATTGTGTGTGATGGGGAAGCAGCTCTCTCGCGGGTGTGTCACGGTGGAGACCACACACAGCAAAGAGTGATGATAGCCAGCAGAAAACTGAGTCTATATAAGCTCAGGGCTACTGCTATACTCATGAGAAGGCCATGTTTATTGTTTTGTAATGAAGACTGCAATAAAGCCATTGTTAGTGAACGGCACCCGAACGCCTCGCTATCCTTCCTTCAGGGGAGTGGTGCGGAATGCTACAAGCTAGTTACCAGCTAATAACGAGCCAAGCTAAATGAATGCTAATAAGCCAGCGTGATCCTAACTATGGTTTGGAGCCAGCAAGCTGTCACTGAGAAATGTAACATGGCCGCTGGGAACATACAGACACAAGGCAGAGAGAAATTTAAGCTG